AGGAATATCTCTTGATGTTGAGAGGAAACTTGTGAACGCCTACTGCAAAAGATGCAGCGTTGAGGCGAGTCATGGGAAAGTGTTGTTCAAGAAGCAGTAGGAGTGCAACCTCAATTTCCCAAAACCCAAAAAAGACTGTAGAACCTGAACAAGAATTCATAATAGTAATAGTTTACTCAGTGTTGGATTTTAAAGACAAGGTTTGATTCAGCCAATACCATATGTGAATTATTCTTTCTGAAACTCTTTTGGAAACTTTGGTTGGGTGTATTCTGGAGACATAAATGATACCCGAATGCTTAATTCTCATTGCATAATACATTGTCTCAGTAGCAGCATGAGTCCTGCTCCTCATAAAATGAAGGCACACCAGTCAAAATTGAAGCTATGAAGTGGCAATTCAAGCAATATTTTTCTTGACAAGTTACCGATTGACAATGTTTGTGAAAAATTAAAAAACAGATAATTTTAACAGCAGCAGACCCATCAGAAGTCCACTAAGAGCACTGAAGTAAAAATGATGGACTAGCATCAAAATGACTGAGTTTACACATTACATTTAACCATGATTTAGCATTCCAGGTATGAATCAGAGTGAGCTTTGAGGTTTTCCACTCACCTGTTCTCTCTTTTCCTCTGTCGTGGCTTCAAATTCACTTCTGTCTCCAGTTTAGCATAACGAGATATCAGCATGTTGTCCAAACCCTGTTCTAGGTTTAAATAAGTTTACTTCAGAACCCATGATATGAAGGTAGCTTGTTTCGGTTGACTAGTTAGTCTAATGACAGGGTTTCCCCCCAAATTTGAGTGTCACAACAAACAGACCTAGAATAGAAATGTAAGATTTACATGAAAGAAGCAAGCTTGCAGCTTTGGTGCTTGCTGTGCTTCCGCCTTGTATTAGCAAGCCTAGGAATTGTGCAGTCCCTATGATGTTTTCTGGCCCACAGAATCATGTGTAATGTCCTTTTTGTTACCACCAACATTTAAAAAACTATTTGAGGTTTGTGAATCTGGTTTAACTTGTATTGATTCTGTAATATCTGTTATTCCACTGTTAGGCCATACTGGGTAGATTGGGTTCCCAAATACATACCTGCCAGGCTTTGAGAGTAGAGTTTGGAAAATCCTGATATTATTAGACTACAAGTCCCAGCAGTCCTAGCTAGTTAATTCAGTGATGAGAGTTGATGATACATCCAACAGTAAGCTAGAAATAAATCTTATATGTGATTGCTCCCAACTTTGGAACACCTTCCTTCCTGCTATTTAGGAGCTGGCAGCTATGTGCATTTTAGGTACTGCTCAGAGACCTGCTTTTTCATCCGTTTTGCCTATGGCAAAGTACATAGTAGCTTCAGCTGCTGAACTTTTCTACAGCTGGTGATTTTCCAACCCCTGGACATACCATAAAGCTGCTGCATAGCCACTTATGCCTGGTGAAGGGAGCATTGGAGAAGCACTTGACTATATGGGCCCTTCCACACAGCCCTATATCCCAAAATATCAAGGCAGAAAATCCCACATTATCTGAGTGTGGATTCAGATAATCCAGTTCAAAGCAGATATTGTGGGATTTTCTGCCTTGATATTCTGGGATATAAGGCTGTATGGAAGCGCCCTCAGAGGATTTGATTGTTTCAGAGGAAGGAAAGGAATATCAATCTCTACATCAACCAAAGAAAGACATATGAGACTGATTTGTGCCTACATATGCTACTAACAGGATAACAACCAATCTTAGCCAGTATAAGAGTTGCCTTATGAATCATTACTTTTATCTAATAGCTACTTAATGTTTTGATATGTGCCTATTTACAGCTTATGTTTTAATGATTATCTTGGTTCTTTTTATTTATCCTTTCTGGATATTGCTTCAAAACATTAACAGAAAGCAGTATGCATAAACAAGCACTTACCATTTCTTCAAACCAACTGAGAGAAAAGATACCTCTATGTATATTGGACGCTTTGGAGATTGAATACAGGGTGAGTTTTTGTGACAACCCCTCCAATCCCACAGCTGCCATGGCCAATCACCATCTAAATTATGGAGTGAGACAATCTGTTTTCTTCTCATTTGATCATTAGCTGCTAGTGGCAGAAGGCATAAAGTTTTGACCCTGAGGCTGACTTGGTCTTCCTCAGATTAACACTAAGATTGGGAGATATTTCACTCAAGAAAATGGTACTAAATTGACTCCAAAGAACATGCATCAGCCAAAGATGGGCATCCCCAGAAAGCCCCATGGCTGGCCTGTGTCCTTGCTTATGCTAAATTACATGGCTAGACTCAAGATTGGGACATGCTTACAGAGGCAAAATGTTTGTGAGATTACACAGAACACCTATTGATGATTTTCATGCTAGCTCCAGTCATTTCTCCAAATTGTGACCTAACCCTTGTATGTCACATTCTTAACTATTTCCTCATCTGGAAAACTAATTATTTCTATGGGGGGAAATTCCACTAGATAATTACATTTCCAAACCCATTTTTCATGGTTTCTGCAGAAAACATTGTGCCAGAGGATTCCCTGTGCAATGCAATAAAGCATACCCTATTGTACAGTCCTGTAAGATTTGAAGAGGATGTCGTGGCATCATAATCATGCTGAATGTTGTCTGTTTTGTCAATTAGACAATAGAAAATATGCATCATTCCCATGAAGCTCCATATCTGTCTACTGTCAGAGAAAAACACCCCAAAGGCTCAAGACACAAACAAGGAGAAGGAACCAACACTAGCCATTATTCTGTTTTTATTAAAAGGTGCCTGCTAAAAACTGTACATCTGCATTAGTGGGTTCTCTTCAAATACCCTACAGGCACTGCATCCTTCCTGGTCTTGGAAGCTAAGCAGGGCCATCCCTGATTATTACTTGGATATAAGACCATCAGCAAATACCAGAGGAAGGAACTCATAAAACCACCTCTGAGTATTCTTTGCCTAAGAAGACCCCATGATATTAAAAAGGTTGGCAGAAATTGATAGGTGACTTGAAAGCTCATACACACAGAGACTGGCTTAAAATCAAGAGATTTTAGCATATCATTACACAAAATTTAAAATGACACATTTCTTGCAGTTCTCTTAATAGTCAAAAGATACCAGAAGGTACAGTACTTAAGATTTTCTCTTATATGCATTTATATTTAGTTGTGCTGTGTGAACAGTATACATAGAAGTTATCTTTGTTGGTGACATCTTACATGTAAACGTGTTTGCCCATTCTTACTATATCTCTTGTGTGACACATGAGCATCCATATATGATAAGGAGAGAATATAAACATGATGGGAGAGAGGGCATACACACCTATTGTATTCTTGGGAACAATCTCTCAGCTCATGAATGGAAACCTTTAGCCGTTTCAATGTCTATGTGACCCCAAACAGGCAGTGAACCAATTTGTGCATACTAACCCAAAAGCCAATTTGTTGCATCATGTCCCAACATGCAAGAGGACTAAGCAGTAGCCACAGGCTCTGTGATGACCTGTTAAAATGGTCAGGAGCAGACAAAGGAGGGCATCGAAACTATTTTCCTTCCCGGATGGTCTTTCTAGCTTCACTCACTTTCTTCTCCTTCCCACCACCCACCATACAGCATGGACAGGTGTGGATGGCAGGAAGTGAGGCAAGCTGGCTCTGATTACTTCCTCTATTTTGCCTTAATGTCAGTTCCTATGAACACATAATCATCCAGCTGCTAGAGCTAGGGATCCCTATTAGATCTATACTAGATTATAAGCCTTTTGAGAGTGCCCATGGCTAGTGGCCTTTTAATAGTATAGAGCCTTGAATCACCTACTGGTACACATTCACTGCATCCTTAACCAGGACATGATGAAGGTATTTATTCTTCAGCATTTCAGATCAAAGGGTGTGGAGAAGGCAGGGGGAGAGAATATTAAAGCATTATGATTGAGATAATTGTGCTTTCTTTCAACTTTAAGTAGGAGGAGAGTTGACAAAGCCACAACAGCTGTGTTTTGCCTCCTTTCCTGTATCTGTACAGGGTGATCTGTGCTGACATCTTCAATGGAATTGGGGGCTCGTGCTGGAAATCACAAGGTGAAGCGGTACCTGTCAGATTTCTAGGCAAAGGATTAGCAATGTCATAAAGTCCCCATGCATAGCCAGGGTGAACAAAGTGCCTTTAGACTGGAACGCCCAAGCTTCCTTGTCATTTGGCTACATTGTCCAGGGCTGATGGGACTTAAATCCACCAATACTGAGAGAGCCACAATATGCCTACTCCTGACCTAGAGACAGAGAGATTGTTATTGTTGTTATAACTGCTTAGAGTGTCCTTGTGGAGAGGAAAAGCAGGGTATAAATAAACATAATCATCATCGTCGTCCCTCACTCAAATTGCCCTTGGTGAGCTATTTGTGCTTGATATAACCCTATTCTGTGTACAAAGTCACCTAAATTGTGGATGGACCAATGCCAATAAAATGTTCCATTGGGGACTAAGTAGTGATATATCTAGTATAATACAGGCATTATATGGTTTCCAATAAATTCTAAAGTTCTCACTGAGTGAACGTTCAGTTTAGGATTGATTGTCCTCAGTAATGTTAAAGTAAACTATATTTTCATGCCTATAAATACTATTTGGTAGATTACAAAGCCTTCCTGATTGTTTGCTTTACTACACCCATTTTCTTCCAACATGTCTCTCAACTGCAGTTATCTTCTCTCTTTTCTGCTCTCTCCTTCATTAGAGCGTGTGTTTGATTATGAACAACTATTTTATAAGTAAAGCTACTCTGTGTGTATTACAAAGACACCTAAGTTTATTTCTTTGATAGACACTGGGTGTGTATAGGTTTATATGAGGCTGGTTACTGTTCAGCTTCCTTTTTTTTCAATTTGAGTATTCTGCTTAAATAATCCAGTATCTCCCACATTTGTCATCAAGTAATTATATGATGAAAATAACACTTTTGGTAAGAAATTCCTTCACCTAGCAAAATCTGGATATTCACAGATCTCTGTAAACATTTTAATAAGGTTTATTACATCTCCAGAAAGGTTAATTGTTTACAGCAGGTTTTTGAGCTACATTTTATATACTGTAATAAATATATAACAATGCCTATGTTCAGTTCCATCGCACATTTGAAATTGAGAAAAAAAAATAAAATCAATTGCGCATTATATGTAACATTCCCTTTTGTTTCATGAATGGTCATATCTAGGTGTAAACAAGATAGAGCGAGTCATTCCGGATGAGCTACATCCAAAACCAGTGGAAGGTTTCATGATGAACTGCAAAGGTCCTGGCAGTGAATACCTTTGAATAAAGAAGAAGAAGAATGAGGAAGGAGGAGAAAACAAGAGTTCAACTATATCTTCATTTTAGCAAAACATTTCTAAATCAGCATCTGTGGACTAGTGAAGGTAAGAAACTGATGATTATGTTGGTCTGTGACAAGAGCAGACAAAGTGTAACCCTTCACATTTTGACCCTTTCAGACCACCTTTTTTGCAGTTGCCATCCCACATGATACATTATTTCTCTGAGGACTCTGAATTTCTTTGACTAGGTTGCAACATTTTCTTGATCTGTTGAACATCGAAAAGATACCTGTTTTCCAAAGCTAGAAGAAAATGCCTGGCCACTTTTGTTTCTTTGCTTTTGTTCTTTGGCATTTTGGTAGTTATGTGGCTCTTGAAGGGTCCTGGGGACAGAAAACTGGCCATTGGACCAGAGAGACTTGTCAACCCCATGTCTACAAGAAGAAAAGCAGCTCACCACTACCACTACCACTACTGGTTTGCCCAGAAAGTTATTACTTTATAGACACTGAGGTTAGATGCATCTCAGGACAGTGTCCTAAGGCTTTCAAATACATACAGATACAGTATATCTATGTATTTGTATTTCCTAGTGCGGTAACGTTTATGTAAAATTCATCTTCAGCCAAAAATATAATTGAGGAGGTGGATAGAAGGGACATAATTATTATCTCCAATGTTACTGTCTTAAAGTAGTGCCATTTTAGGAACACTTACTGGATAGTGTTTTGACATCAGTTATGACAAGAGGCATAAACATTTCACCTCCGTTCCCACCACATGTCTGCACACTTTTGGAGCTGCTTTCTGCAAGCTAGACAACAGCCATAACACTTACAAACAACCACAACACCACTGTCATCACACGAGTCATTTAAGAGGCATGTGTTGGGAGAATGTATTAAAGACCTTCCACCTCAATAACTTCTTCCCTCCATTTCTTCTCATATGTTTCTTTTTAAAGGCAGTGAGCTGCCATGGTTATTGCTTATTGCAACTGCTCAGCATTTGGGAAAACACAGAGGGGGCAAAATGTTTCCATTACTCCAAAAATGAATTATTGTTTACACAAGTCCCAGCCTGAAAACACAGTTAATACATTCTGATAAAACAGACTGAACTAAACTGCTACTTAATGAAGTTGTGACATTGCCACCACCTCATTGTCATGATTTTTAGCAAACTGCTAATTTGCCATTCATCAATGACTTTCTGATTTATTTGCTTTAAAAACAGGCTATATTGGTAGGAGCAGAACTAGAGCAAAATCCTACAAACAATAATTCATCACAAATTGTCTAATAATCGCCATTTAATCTATTTCTCATTATGGATGTACTATAATTACTTGTGGGTATTAGATAAATGCTCTAAAAGTGCATAAAAATAACACCTACACTAAGTAGAAGCTGCATAACGATGAATGCATTATGCTAGAATTGATTACAACTGCTGCATATAATAAAGTGCCTTGTTTTGAAAGCATTACACCAGTTGAAGGAACCCTATTGATAGATGAACGCTCAGCATACTCTGGAATATTCATGTTGATTAATTCTAGAAAGTTACAAAGCAACACAAGAGTGTGTGATGAAATCAGACTGTTACTACCCAAAGCTTCTCATGAATTTAATGCAAACAAAAGACCTTTAACAGGAGGATGTTGTATACATTTAGGGTTTCCTTCCTGCCAGACTGAATTCAATGAAGTGTGCAAAATAGCAGTGTTGCTGCCTAGGGCTGCATTCATTACCATTAAACACCATCACAGCCAATGGAGAGATCCCGTTAAATCCAATGTTACTGAGTTAAGAAGGAACTTTGAGTTGTTCCAAAAACCAAAAAGGGGAGAGAAATTGGCTTCTCTGTAAAAAAAAAAAAAACCAGAGGAGGGAGCGGTATTTAAAAAAACACTGTTCACACACACAAAAAAAAGAATTCCTCACAAAGTTTCATTAGGCTTTTTGGTAATAGATGCATGCTTGCTACAGTACCTAGGACTGTGTTTTGTTTTGTTTTTATCTCATCACCTTAGAGCCATGAAAACAATGCTGTCTAGCATAAATCATGAAAAGGAAAGCAACTCTTTGGGCATTACTGCTCATTCAACTGGGATTATTATGTAACTAGTGATAACATATTCAGCACACAATATTGTTTCCCCGCGGAAGAGTTATCTCTTCCCTAACACATACTTTTTTCTCCCCAGCTGACATCAATTCATGTGAGACTGGTGGCAACATTTACATGACAGAATAGTAAACACATTTCAGCTCCCAAGGATACTGCTACCTATTGTCCCAAACAATCTTAGAGTACTCTGTACAGCTCTGAAGAGGTTTTGGATTTGTCCTTGGCATTTACTAATCTTATTTAGTAAATAGATGCAATCGATGGAAATCAAAAGATAATTCTTAGCCACAGGAATTAAAGTGGCAATTTCTGCAGTGAATCCTCTCAACTAGCTAAGACAGAAACATTAAAGAGCACAAGATATAACACCGAAATTTACTGCTTTAAAGTTTTAAAAAATCGCTTATTGTCCCAAAAAAAAGTTTATTTTGTGGATTCTGGGCTCCCTGAATCAGCCAGAAAACATGGTAAAAATGGATTTTAGAACTAAAAATAATGGATTTATGGCAAGTTATCCACAAGATGATAACGTTATTTTTGTCATCAACATCCCCAAATCCTTATTGTTACTGTCCGGAGCAGCCGTGTATGAAGTGTGACCCTCATGACATAGCTAAACTGCAAATCCCATCATGCTTCATGAGCACTGCTAGAAATTGAAGTGTAAAATCATTTGGTAGGCTGCATTTGGCCCACCTCTATGAATCACAGAAAACCAATGCCTTTGGGTTATAGATTTATTTTAGCTGACATAGATTAACACATGGCTATTGGGACATCCCACTCTGTTATCATTGCTTTTCAACTTGTGCTAGTTTTAGAGACTTACCATTTTGGTAATGCAGGTTGCCTTTTAATGTATTTTACTGTCTTGCTTTCACACACATGCTGCCAAAGACAAGTGAAGCATTTGCTAAATAAAAATGTTCTCAAGACAAGCGCTTGGAGATGTAGTCAGGGGGAATTTTGTATCAAAAAACTCCCTTCTGTGTTGGAAACACTCCACAAATTTGCAAGAAGTGCAACCAGGACACTGGCAGAAGTACCACACCAAGAACTGGATTCTCTAAGATCCTCCAGGTGTTTGAGACTTCAACAACAAGAAGTCCTAGCCAGTTTAGCCAACTGTCAGGAATTCTGGAAGCTGAAGTCCAAAATATCTGGAAAAGCCATGGCTGGGGAACCACACTCTAGAACAGTGGTTTTCAACCTGTGGGTCCCCAGATGTTTTAACCTTCAACTCCCAAAAATCCTAACAACTGGTAAACTGGCTGGAATTTCTGGGAGTTGTAGGCCAAAACACTTGGGGACCCACAGGCTGAGAACCACTGCTCTAGGGTTATGCTTTAAGAGTGTAAATTCCCTTCTGTGCTTCCACGGTGCTAGACAGATTCATAACAATAGCATTCTTCTGAATTTTAGCCAGGGAGGGGAGACTCTTAAAGTGTGCATCATTTGAATGCCACTGCTTCTGTGGTGGTTGTTTAGGCATGGAGGCATGTTGGGATACAAATCTCCAAAGAATTCACCACAATCCTATCCTGTATCTTCCTGAAAGGATGTACATGTACTCTCTGCTTGGCCAGGCTATTTGATCTAGAACCCATTTTTCAACAATTGCCATATCATGATGCTTTTGAGACAATGGTCCCTGAATTCAAGGGGTTCCTTTTAAGTAATAAGGTACACTAGCCCCATCCTCCATGGTTTTTTAAAAATCATCTTTTAAGTAATCATATCAGGTAAGACTGGGAAACTGTGGCTCTCAAGACATTATTGGATTCCAATGCCCATCCCTGCAATCACGCCCAATTATCAGGGATTATGAGATTTGTAGACTAACAACATCTGGAAGTTCAATATCAGTGGTTTTAAAGCCATCACTACAATGCGAGGCAGTAAGTTCTGTATGCTTGTTTCCCACTATATGAACAAATATCTCCCCGCTCCCCCCTCCCCCCGCACTTTCTTTTTTCTGTCTGGTGAATCACTTAAAGGAACAAAAGTCACCTTTGCCCTGAAGAAGCAGAGTTGGTCCACAGAGAATGAGACAAGTCCGGGGATGTTTCATTTCATAAGGTTTAAATCACTGAGGATCAATCTTTCTTCTGCTCTCCTCTAAACACTAACTTTTCCATGAGGCAGAATACCAGCAATCTCCCTTCTAACTGACCCTGAGCTACATGCAGCCATTCCCAGGTTAACTCAGTGATTGAGATGCCTTACACATAGCAAATATACACAAGGTGCTATGTGTAAGCACAGACCAAGCAGAAAACTCAGAAAACTAGAGCAAAAGTCTACAGGGCGGGGGAAGCACATATGTTCTCAGTGCTATAATTAACTAAAAAGTGTCTTTACACTTGCTAAGTTAACAGGGTGTGTGTATGCGTTCAAAATTACAAAGAAAGTGATTTGATCAATGAGTAATTTATTTTTAAAAAAGGATCAAAATGAAGCAATTCTTTTATTAGATGAATAATTCTGGCTGTAACCAAGCCATAAGTAAGCCAGCACAGGTGATAAGAGCAATGTAGATCATTGGGAGTACTGTCAACTCTCAAGGTTGATGGGGCCACATTGGACCTTTGGGGATCTTGACTTCTTCCTGTTGAAAGAAAGACCTCTCTTAGATCTAAAATGCCCTAAGAAGATCAATAGGTTGCTTTCAGGGGATATATTGCAAGGCAAAAGAAAAAAATAGTGGCTAAAAAACAGCCCTGGGACTTCATACAGTATCTGGATTGCACTTTCCTCACACCTGAAAACAATTAATACACTGGAGCTGCATTGGCACTCTCAAATTCTTGTAATCTTGCATTTTATGGCCCTTGCAAAGCTTTTTTTTGGCCCCTGGATATTGCTGAATTCCAGTTTTCTTCATCCTGCACCTCAAGGTGTGTTGGGTACAGCTAATGGCACCTAGGTAGAGAGCCACAAGGTACTCCCCTGTGTTTCAAAGTAATGTATGTCCAAGTTAACGTAGTGTATAATACCTTGTATCATCCCAGTCAGGGTTCATTCCAGTGAGGGATCCCCTTGAATCAGCCGAGTATTTGTAAACCACTAGCAGGCACTGTTTACAAAGCTCAACTATTCGTTGGCAACATTGGAGCTGATCGGCAGTCACTGCTTCTGTGCTTCTACTGAATATTGTTTCCCAGGAGCTCCTGTTGGCATAGAAACAGACATGACCTCATGTTTTCTGTCACAAATGGCAAGCTAAAAAGCCTTATTTCTCTACATGAGAGATTTAGCCATGGAGAAGGAAGAGAAATAATGTATGACCTTGCCCACTTACAGTAAAAAACCACCCTATTTCAGCAGGAGATGGTGGAATATATAAAATGCATATTAATAAGTTAACCTTCAGATTTGAAAAGCTACAGAAGTCAGTTGTTCAGCGAGTGCTATGAAGAGATCCAGGGCATTGACGTATTTTTCAAATGATATTTAATAGAATTCAAGAATGTAGATCAAGGTTCAACTGACTGAATGAAGTTCCAAACCAGTTGCTAAATTGAAAGCAAAACTACAGATCTGTATGTTCATTGGTAATTATGTCACTTATGAAGTAGAGCAAAACTCAAAACATTCCACTGGGATATAAACTGACGTGTCTGGCAAGAAATCAGTTTTTTTAGTGTGACCTTAGAGCAAAGCATCTTCCATATTTGTTTCAAGAAAGAAAATTCAGATAATGCAAAGTAATGGCACATGCAAAGAGGAAGAAGAGTAGACTGATGCTCAGTGAATAAATATTGTGCTCAGTGAGTAGGATTTGAAGCCTCCATTCAAACTGGCATTCTCATGAGATTCCAAATTATTGGTCTGGAAAACTGCATTATTGCATTTGGCTGTAATCCTAAACACACTTTCTTAGAGGTATGTCCCACTGAACCTGGAAGAAAGTCATTTCTGAGTAAACATTCTTAGTCTCACACTGCCAATTTCGTTCAAAAGGAAATGTGTTATGGTGACTTTCACAATATACATTTGAAGTATATTTACACCACTTTAAACTACCATAGCTGCACCCCATGGAGTTTGTGATTTGGTGAGTTACTTAAGCCCCTTGGCACAGAATTTGAAATAAATCATGAAACTACAAAGCCTGGCATTCCATCAAATAGAGCTGTGGAAGTTTAAATGATATCAAAATATAAGAAATTGTGCTGTATTAAAAGGGCTATGTTTCAAAACTGTTGCAGTATACATAATCAACAAAGCAGAACTTCCTAAACTCAGACCAATTTGGACAATTATATCTCAGCTTAATAAGGTAGAATATGGGCAAATCTTCTGTCAGTACGTACAGTCACTTCTTGGTTTTCATCAGTTAATTCAGGAAAAGTCCAATTAATCATAGTTTTCCAATTTTATCCAGATCAGGAAATGATATATGGCATTTGATAAAAGCCAGGCTCTTGAGCCAGAGTTCAGACTGCACATTAACATCTCTTTCTCTCCGACTCCCCAATTCCACACCACTCAATTTGACAGAAACAAACAAAGCATTAGTATCAAGTGTGAAAACATTGTGGGGCTCAACTTACATATTAGCTTAATTGGCAGCTAAAAAGCTTTTCACAGTGTAGTTGCATGGATCTTGCTGCTACCTTTTATACCTGGTCACAGGAGCCCTGAAGATGGTATAGTCCTAGCATTTGAAGGACAATGTGCTTGATCAAGTTGGGCACTTAATATTAATATTTTAAATGGCACCAGTATAGTTTGAGTGCCAGACATAGGAGCTGATGTCTCAAAATGTGTGGATTAGGCTTAACTAGCATGGAAGGGCAACTGGAGAAGGAGTAAACAAAAGAAACTTTTAAAGGAAGACATTACATTTATTTCCCAACTATGTATCTTTATAGCAATCCTGCGAGACTAGCCAAAGAGGCAGTAGCCTGCCCATAGCCATCTAGTGATTTTCATGGCTTAGGACGAATTTCAACATGAGCTTCCCTAATCAAAATCAACCATTCTGCCTAATATGTCATGCTTTTAGATGCCAGGTAATGCTTGCATAGTGCAGCAATTTCTGCTTTAGGCTACAATGTGGGAAAATCAAGTTATGATAACTACACTGACACAAAACTCCAACTCCAAGCCAAACATTGACTCTCAATCCAGCTACCTCACTAGATGTGGGAAAAATGTTCACAAAATTTCAAAATATGATTGAAAAAGAACATGTTTCTTGAGTGTCAAGAGGCACTGGCAATTCCTGGCAGGAAGAATTCTAGACTGATATGTTCACAATCTTTGGTGCCATAGATGTTTAGGACTTTCACTCCCAAAAGTCCCAGCCTGTATGACCAGTAATAACAGATTCTGAGAGTTGAAACTAGTTGAGCTAAAAGAACAACTAGTTTAGAAGCCTGCAAAATTACAATGGCAAAGTTGCAACACACAAAAGCAAAACTCAACAATCTTTCTGATCTCACTGTTGCACATTCAGTTAAAGGAGGGTATTAATTCAAGCAAATTCATTGTTACCAAAAATACTAAACCCACCATCATCTTTGTGTGTTGAAAGTGTGCAGACAAATAGCCTGAGAAAAACTGGATTAGTAAACAGTTTTGCCAGAAACTATAAGAAAAATAAACCCACAGCAGTGATAAAAATAACAGTTTGTGGTTTTAGTCAAGAAAAGCCATGAGGGCTTCTATATACATACAGAGCTCTTACCCTGAATTGCAGAAACAGTTCCACAGCCCCTGGCCATGGCTCCATAGCAGGCGATTAAACACACGGTTAAAAAGTCGGTACAAATGTAAACATTCCACATCTGAAACTCTCCAGACACGCTGAAGAACTGAACGAATGCTTGCTTTTACAATATCTAAAACCTAGAAAAAGATCATATTAGACCAAAAAAAAAAAACCAAGGTGAGAAATACTTCTTTGTATAAAAAAGAACTTGAAAAATGATGTGTCAGTAAACTTCTATGGGAGAAATATATAAATGGTGCTATGGTAGTTTTAAAACTTGGGATGTTGTTATATGTTATAGAAAAAGTTGTCAATGTTTTACAAAACAAACCCCCTCTGAACAAATCTTGCAAAAGGAAATCTATGCCTTAAGGTCTCTAGTCAGAATAAATTTGAAGGCACAGAACTGTAACAAAAAACAAATTCCCTTATTGTCAGAGTTTCTATATTGTCTATATAACTACCCAAGGAAATTTAACTGATTAAATGGTAAGTTATTGTTGCCACACTGTGCATATCTGCAGTCCCCACTGACTTTTGTATGGGCTGCAGATGGACAGTCCCACACAGAGTTCAATTTTGCATAGGACCGCTTAAGTCTGATTAAACAGGAAGCCATTGATTTATGTATGGCACTAAAGGAAGACAGGCTTGAAAAAACATCTCCAATATTTCATTTCAAAAAAGAAATAGTACTATTCCTTTTATTTTAATGCTCATATTGAACTTCTATTTAAAGCTGTGTTTGGCAAACAAGACAGATGGGAAGTGAAAGGAAGTGCAGAAGTAGAGTACAAAAAGATCTTCTGTTGTTCTTAAAAGAGCTTTAATTTATCATCTTTCTGTACTAAAAAAAAAATCATAACTTGAGCTGGATTCATCTGAAGCTATTTTACCACATAACACATTTCTTTCTTCTTGGTGCATACTGTGTTATTTTACAAGCTGGATAATGTAATATCTGAAGGTCTGATTTCTATGACTAAGTGACATGAGGCAGACATTTTAAAAGCAGTATGTGGCCACTCAGACATATAAATCAGCCCTGGGGATATATACAGATATGTGGAATAGTATTTAGAACTGTTCACATGAAACCAATTCCCTCTGCCTTAGGATTGGCTACTTTATTTCAGTTCATTTCCGTGTTGACTAGAAGTCACTGACTCATTTCTTTCTGCCATTAACTTATCAATTCCAATCTTCTGTAAATGAGGGTTAGAGGTTCATAAGCTAAATGCTGGACAATCAGCTTCTATTCATTGTCAAAATGAGGAACAGTAAGAATAAGACAGCTCCAGGGCCCATTTTGTTGCTTCACATCTAATTGTGTATGAATTAAACTAACAGTTGATTTCAAGAACTGCTTTAGAAAGTCATACAAGCTTAAATGGTTGGTAAATGAATACAGCCAAACTCCTTGCATAAACCAAAGAATGGATGGATGGATAAGTGAATGGATAGATGGATGCAATAGACAAACAGATACAGTATACTGCAAAAAAAAAAAGCCTGTAATCAGGTTTATATACAACACATTTGAGTTCACATTCACAAGGACAAAAGCCACTTCACTATATTTTAAAATCATATTTGCACTGCAACTCCGTCTGTTGTTCAAAGGGTTTCAAACCGAAACCAAACTTTGCTCACAAACATTGAGGAACAATTACAAAAGAACATGTATATGTTTTATCAGTCCAATTTTTGAAACTTTGCCAGACAATTATTACCTCCAAATGTATCTATCTCTCTGCCTGGCTGTCCATTAGATTTATACCCCACTTTAATTATTATTATTATTATTATTATTATTATTATTATTATTAAACTTTATTTGTACCCCGCTAGTATTTCCCGAAGGACTCGATGCGGCTTACAAAGGCCAAGGCCTCAAACAACAACAACAGACAATAACAATATAATACAAGCAAATTAAAAACATAAGCAATAACAACAACAACATTACACTATTACGCAATAAAACCAGGGCCGGGCCAATGAAGGGTACAGGTTAAAAAGTGCTGGGTGTAAGAGGTGATATGTTGGGATTCTGGGCAAGTGCAATGTGCAGAGAGTCTTAAGCTCTAATAAAGTGCTTCTGGGACGTAGTGCTGGAGGTTATCCTATTCCGGAAAGGCACATCGGAATAGCCAGGTCTTCAAGTTCTTCCTAAAGACTGCCACGTGGGTGCTAGTCTAATGTCTTTGGGGAGGGTGTTCCAAAGTCGGGGGGCAACCACAGAGAAGGCCCTGTCCCTCGTCCCCACCAAACGAGCCTGCGACGCAGGTGGAATCGTGAGCAGGGCCTCTCGGGATGAATGGAGGGAGCACTTGGGTTCGTATACGGAGATGCGGTCACGCAGGTATGCAGGTCCCAAACCGTTTAGGGCTTTGTAGGTAAGCACCTGCACCTTGAATTGGGCTCGGTAGGTAAACGGCAGCCAATGGAGCTCCTTAAACAGGAGGGTTGACCTCTCTCTGTAAGGGGCGCCAGTTAACATCCTGGCCACCACCCGTTGAACCAGTTGGAATTTCCGAGCCGTTTTCAAGGGCAGCCCCACGTAGAGCACATTACAGTAATCCAACCTAGAGGTGACTAAGGCATGGACCACCCCGGCCAAATCAGCCTTTGTGAGGTACGGTCGCAGCTGGCGCACAAGTCTTAGTTGTGCAAAAGCCCTCCCGGACACCGCCAATGCCTGAGCCTCAAGCGTAAGTGATGAATCCAAGAGGACTCCCAAGCTGCGGACCTGTGACTTCAGGGGGAGTGTAACCCCGTCCAGCACAGGTTGCCACCCTATACCCCAATCCGGTTTACGATTGACCAGGAGGACCTCTGTCTTGTCGGGATTGATCTTCAGCTTGTTCTCCTCATCCAGATAGCCACAGCGGCCAGGCACTCGTCCAGCACTCGAGGGGCCTCCTTGGAATTAGGTGGAAATGAGTAGTAGAGTTGTGTGTCATCTGCGTAGAGATGGCACCTAACTCCAAAACTCCGGATGACCTCTCCCAGCAGTTTCATGTAGATGTTAAAAAGTATGGGAGACAGAATAGAGCCTTGCGAGACCCCACAGATCAAAGGCCAGGGGTCTGAACAGGCGTCTCCCAGCTTCACCATCTGGGATCGACCCTCCAGGAAGGACCGAAGCCACGACAGAACCGTGCCCCCGAGACCCATCCCAGAGAGTCGTCCAGAAGGATACCATGATCGATGGTATCGAAAGCCGCTGAGATATCCAAGAGAACCAACAGAGTCACACTCCCCCCGTCCAGCTCTCTACGGAGGTCATCCACCAAGGCGACCAAGGCCGTCTCGGTGCCGTGGCCAGGCCTGAAACCAGACTATGACTGATCTAGTAGTTGATGTCATCCAGAAAACCCTGGAGCTGGGAGGCGACCACCCGCTCCAACACCTTGCCCAAGAAAGGGAGGTTGGAGATTGGTCTGAAGTTGCGGGGAGAGGAAAATTATTATCTATTTATTCAGTTTTATAATATAACATTTTGCATTATTATTTACCTCCTTGTAACATCAAAAAGCACACCATTTATCCAAATCCTAGAAGTATTTTCCAATAATCATACCTATGACATCATACATTCCTTTTATTTCGTATATATTTATATATTCCAGCAAGTAATGGAGCTAAATCCTATCTCGCCAAGATTTTATGTAATTGCTGGATGTATTCCTTAAACAAATTCTTTTGAAAAGTGGCTTTGGATATGTTTGTCATTTCCATCTGGTCTTCCTTTTCTTTTATTTTTTTCTCTCCTAAACAGTTTGCCCCTGCTAGCATCTAGACCACTCAGTTTCAGATCAGGGCAAGCTTTGTATTCACACATGTCACATTTGGAAATCTTTAAATTGCAATGTCAAAAGTTAAGCCATTTGTTTAACGGTGCCCTTAAAAATGACTCTGATGTTTCACAGAGGTTAGGATTAAATGTACAGAGAAGCCTACAGCAAGTTGTTGCTGCCAAAAGAAGTTGAGAGCTCACCAACGCTTCAGGTAATATCATCCCCCTGAGTCATCAGGCAGGTCTTTACAAGCTGAACAAAGACATCCGCCTGTGCAGAAGTGCAGTTTTTCTTCATAATGACCTAGTATATCATCTTGGCCTAGGCCATGTATCCAGAGTATCACTTATATTTGTCAATGAAAGAATGCCTTTAAAAAGAAATCTCTTACAGGGAAAATACAGGCTGGGGTGATTTTTAAGAACAGTAACGTACAAGAGTAAAATGGACATTTGAAGCATAAATTTGGGAGTATTTGTAGCTTCTCATCAGTAGAATATTTCTAGCTGCTCACCACCATAGCCTTGGAAATGTTAGAGTATGATTAGACTACAGTTCCATGAGACAGGAAAATATCTTTTGCTTTCAGAATTGAGTAAAGCATCATGCACACCAGTGGTGCAATGGGTATGTGTCACTGGAACATCTCCTCTATTATTATTTCTGACTCAATACTTTGCTTCCAAAAAAATAAAACAGTGCAAGGTTGCATCATGAATAAATACATGTGCAGTGTGATAACAGACTAGTTGAGTCCAAAAAAAAGATGTAATACAGTGCTTTGTCAAAGTTTTATTTCTTTTACAGCAAAGGTGTGGCGTGTGTGGTTCTCTAGATGTTAGCCCTTTGAGGCATTACCCACCACTCTCTCTTCAGCAGGGAAGTACTGCCCTCTGCACCTCCAACATCAATTTTCCTCTCACCTCAAAAAGTACTTATGTGTATGTCTTTTCTCCATGCCAACAGAAATCCCAGAAAATCAGGGATATTGTTCACATGGAAAACCTCCATGTAACCAATAGCCTCTCCTCTCCAGTTGTGTCATCTTCCATAGGCTGAAAGCAAGGACAGTTACATTAGGTGCTTCCAAGCTGAAGCAGCTGCGGTGCACAATGCTTGAGCACAATGGCTTTGGATTGCATTTCTCATCTGCTCTAGGCAGCATGATGAGAGTTAGCATCCAGCAACACCTGGAGGCCAACACGTTACCTATGCTTGATTCTAACACATGCCTTTCCTGGCTAGTTCTTTCAAAACATCATGAATGACAATTGTTGTTTCCTGGAATAGGTTTAAACCATAATATCACTATGTTTATTCTAAATTAAAATGGAATAGTCTTTGAAACTGAATAGAAAAAGACTTAATATCTGTCTCAAACATTTAAAAATGCAATGATCTCATTTTTTTTTTTCAAATGATTTACAGAACAATGAGGACTAAGCTAAGAATAAACTCCTTGCATTAGAGAAGGAAACTGGCATTTTCAAGGTGGACTCTGGAATCATCTGCTTATCATCCTAAAAGTAATACATTTGGCATTTCTCTAAATGCCAAATTGAGTCTCTGAAACCCTGTGCTGATTATTGCTTTTTTGTGTATCAAGAGCAACTTGAGAAACTGCAAGTCACTTCTGGTGTGAGAGAATTGGCCATCTGCAAAAACGTTGCCCAGGGGACGGCCAGATATTTTACCATCCTGTGGGAGGTTTCTCTCATGTCCCTTCATGAGAAACTGGAGCTGACAGATGGGAGCTCACTCCACTCCCCAGATTCAAACTGCTGATCTTTCGGTCAGCAGTCCTGGCGGCACAAGGGTTTAACCCATTGCACCACCGGAGGCTCCTTATTATTGCTTATGATTAGTATGGAATCATCTGCATACTTGAGGTACAGTCACATGGCTAGATGCTTTTGAACTACAATTCTCAGAACTCTATAGTCGCATGGCCAGTGCCCCATGATAGCTGTAGGAGTCATAGTTCCCAAAGTAACATTTCCAAGCTCTATTTTATATTTACAAATTTATTTGAGATACATTAGTAACTACACAAAGTGCTAACAGGGAGTATTCTGTTCATGTACCCCCTTTCTTCTGTTTAAGTTCCCATCATCAAGAAACGGAAAGCTTCATGCTTTGAATTAATCACAGTAGACCATGACGACTGCATTATAGGGACTATGGTTAGTTTAAACATTTGTTAGCAACAAAAAGCCAGGGAAATAAACAAGATAAAAACAGGGTCTGTTTTGTTTACCAACTGAATTTTTTAAAAAAATTGAGCATGTTCATCTTGGTGAAAAGCAAGCTCTATAACTGAGCTCTTTACTTATCTAAAGGGCTGGGACAGATAGAAAAATGCAGGTTTCTGCCTCTGAAGTAGGATCACTTATGATGTTTTTAAGTTACTCCAGTATATAGTTCAACTGAGCATTAAAAAGAACTTCTTGATGGTAAAAGTGGTTTGACAAAGAAATCAATTACCTAGAGAGATTATTGAGATCTCTTCCCCTGGATGTTTTCAAAAAGAGAATGGAAAACTACCTCTTGGGGGTTATCTAGCTAAAGTCCCCGCACTGAGCAGGGGGTTACACTTGTTTGCATATGGGGCCCCTCCCAGCTCCATTTATGACCTCCAAAAATGTTAAGTGTAAATAAAAACATAACATAACATAATTGACTAACATAATTAAGTGTTCTATATTTGTTTTGTTTTTTAAAAAATAACTACCACGTATGGTGACAAACATGCACCACTTACCTTTCGCTGCTTTGCAGAGTCTAGTTTTATTAACCAATATGAGGCCACTTTTGACTTGTGATGTTTCCAATTATCCATAATCTGTCTCAAAAGACCAAAAAGAACTGATCAGTATAGTGTCATTTCCAAAGAAAGTATATCACCCACATATAAATTGTATGCAAGAGAATTGGTATCCAATGGTATCCAATGGACCAATGTGACCAAATGCTACTTGGTCTCTACTATATAGAGAGAAAAAAATCAATATCACCAATAAAGTTATAATGTCCACAGTTGTGTGATTTCTAATGCATATTTATTAAGAGTTTGAATTTTAACTATGTTATTTTCTACTACAAATATATGAATGTAATATTTTTAAAGTGCGGGGTGGGAGATCACAGTATGGAACGTTAAGAATCTGCAGTCATCTGAATAGTACTTTGAGCTCTGCCACCAAGTGGCAGAAATATGCTCTGAAAAAGTACACATGGAAGGAGCAGAAAAACATGATCTAAAGATGACCTGTATTGGTGACGGAAGAAAACTGGCTGTTTGAAATACCCAAGGTTAGAGGTAAAAGTAAATGACATTTAATTTTATTTGCCTCCCAAGTGCTGGAGACTGTCATTTAACTGAAATAATGCCCAGATGGGTTCATTTACTAATAGTATCTGAAAAGAGCTAATCCAAATTAATATAGCTGATTTAGTATCCGCCAACTAACACACAATTGTTCCAGAACCAATGCTTCCAATAACAATGAAATTAGCTACCAGATGAGACTAGTCTGGAAATGTACAACAACAAGCTTTTATTAGGGCCCTACTTTTCAAAAGATTGCCAGTATTTCTCCATGTCTAGTTGTTATTTGTACACCAGGGCTACCTATGGTGAAGACAGAGAGGAGTGCCGCCTATTATCTAATTCGTTCTTTTTTAAAAAAAAATTTGTAGAGGACAGAAATGAGATCACTATATAAGCCTGATTGATTTTTCAAATCAGAGAAGGGATTTCACTCAGTGCCACCACCGTGACAGGCACATTTGGTGAGGTTGTCAGACAAGGCTTTCTTAGTGGTTGGTCCAAGGCTGTACAACTCATGTTCATGGGAGGAAATAAATTATAGAGCTGCACTAAAGGACCTACAGAATCACAGAGATAACTTTTTTTATCAAATCTGCAAAAGTCTAGCATAAAATGTGAAGGACTAGCTACTAATAAACTTCTGCTTGTCAAATCTGTTTTTCAACTGTGTTTGGCTATTCCTGTCAAGTTTCGATTGGAGGTCTGGTTACATCACAATGAACCCACTGAATGACACATCCACTGGTCCACACAGGAAGCACTTTGGGCACATCTGCATTGACTGTTTAGGTGAGTGTAGGACTGGATCAGCTCCATAATGGCCAAAAGCCATACAGTGCTTATCCAGGGTGACATAGGACAGGGTCATGTTGATGCAACCTTGCTCCATGTTGGCCAAAGTCAGGGTATAGTCCAAATTCTGGCCCAAAAATCAGGCTATTGGGCCAGTCATAACAGTTGGACTGGTCTGAAATAGAAACAGCCACAACTATCTCCACTGCCATCCCAATATTTCCTGGGCTCAGGAGACTTGGGGCATGGGATAGCTGTCATTCCTTGAAGCCCAAGCACCAGATCCGGGGAGGGGTCTTGAGGGGAAAGAGAGAAAGGTGTCTAATAAGAGCTAACGAGTTTGAAGCTCTGAGGCTAGCCTAAAGTAGAGGAACCACAGAACATGCTAGTAAGGTCTATCTTGCTTTACTGACTGTAGGCCAAATCAACTGCAGAACGAGCTAAAGAATTATTTAATAAGATGCTCCACACTCTTCTGATAATGCAGGGTGAAGCAGCATAGCTTCCTTTTTGAAAATGTGCGCCATTCAGTCGGTTGAAGACATAGCGGAGCACTAGTGGTCTCGTTCGAGAGGCGGGAGAATAAAGTTTTGTCCTGACACAGTTCAGTCACCATCATGCGTTGGAACAGTGAGGAGCGTGCTTTTGCCATTCAGGCCTACTTTTCAAGCAGATTTGGAGTGGCCAGCCCGCTCTCCAGATTTGGCCCCTTGTGATTTTTTTTCTATGGGTTTTTTTTAAATCCCGTGTTAATGTGAACCATCCAAGGACCCTACAAGATTTGAAGACCAACATCCAGGAAGAAATTGCCAACATAATGCCTGCTATGCTGGCAAGAGTCATGACAAATGCCAGAAATTGGTTTACTCAGTGTATGGAGAATGGAGAATGGGGGACATCACCTACCTAATTTGATCTTCAAAACTACATAAAGCAAAACTTTAGGTATGCACCCTCATTATTAAAAAAAAATCTGATCCATACAATGGATTTTATTAAGTTTTGAATACAGGAAGTTATGCTGCCTCACCCTGTATTTTTCACTATCCAATTACACAGAGACAATGAAGGTATGAGATTGCATCATATACAGAAAAATGTGGTGTAACTGATTGGCAAACATAGGGAAAGAAGCCAGTGAACATACTTCCAGATATCAATTTCATTGAGTCTGCAAATCGATGTTCCAATGCTTGTGGATTTTGCTTCTCCAATACTTACATCTTCAATTATTAATTCTGCTTCTTCATTTGTTTTCCCTGGGAATCGGATCTTCATGTCATTGAAAATTACCAGAGTCTCCTTTGTTAGCGATTCCTCTTGCTCTTTTGTTCTCTGGTGCATCTCAACCTGTCAAAATAGAACAACATGTGTCTATTAACTAACTGGAAGAGGTTACTGCAATCTTATATCTGATACACAATTGATAAAAGTTTTCCCTGCTAATTCTTCACTTTTTTAAAAAAGGAGATTAGAATAAAGATAGCCAGTCCGCAGACTGAAGAGGTTTTCTTGGTGGCTGCTCCCAGATTCTGGAATCCCCTGTCAAATTATGCTTCTGCCCAGATCTATTGTCTTTGAATTTACAAGTAACCTACAATATTTTTTCGAGCAGATATTTGTTTTTAAAAAAAATTGGTTGTTGTTAGAAAGAGGTCTTTGAATAATGTCATTCCTTTTTTATGTTTAAAAAAATTAAATGTTTTTACATATCTAAATTAAACTTCTTTATATTTCATTTTATCACTGTTATCTACTGTGTGTGCTATAAATGTATATAAGGTGGGTAAAACTGTAATAAATCTATATATCGCTATTTCTGTAACATTAATGGAAGGAAAGATGGATCCCCTATGAACAATTCTTGCCAAGGAAACCTCATGATAGGGTCACCTTAGGGTTACCATAAGTTGAAAACAGTTTGGCAGTATTCAATAACAATGAACTCAATTGTATGGATCTACAATTTCAATGCCTCCCTGTGAACTAATGGAAGCTTCAGTCAAAGGAACTGATCAGTATCTTACACTGATATATATAATTACCAGTCATGTTTTATGATTTAAAGCACAGATCTTAAATGCGATGTTCATCATATTAACAGTGCCGTTTCTTTACCCATCCACCCAGAGTAAAAGATTCCCATTGAATTCAATGGGGCTCACTGTTAGGCAAGTGGATATAAGACTGCCACAAAAATCCATGTGGCAAGGGAGAATATGTATTTAAAATATACAATGCTTTGTTAATTATTAATGCAGGAGCATGCCCAAAAAAGATACTATAACAAAATAATCCAGAACTGTAAATTTTCTTAACAATATATCTTATGATAGTGTACAGTACTATTGTCTTGTATTGCTTTGCAATTTGCATGTAAATAAAATGTTCAGCTCTTTGTGTCTACAAACAATAACAGATATCCTCAAAATGTTCTAAGAGCCTTTTCACATTTTGATAATCTTTCATATTGGGGACCTTTTATAAACATTTTGTTTATGAAAGAATAATACTGTATTTTGTGCAAAATAAAATGCTCTTCACTGTATTTGTGCAAAATAAAACTTTCTGCACAAAGAATTTTTTCACAAAAAATCCTAAAAGGCAAAGAAGGTAAAAATGTTCATAATCTTGCCTAAAGCAGACTTTTGAAATGTTTCTCATGCTCAAGAATGAAACAAGTAAAGATTTGCATTATTACTTTAACAATGCCATCTGTTTAAAAGGTATTCACATTTTCCTGTAGGTTAGGAGGAATATCTGTGGAATTTTAATTAAGCTATTTGCATTTCTATAATTGTTCTAACCTTTCTTCCTTGGAACTAAGTCAACTAATTTCAGTGAAACTTATTTTTAAGTCGGTGAGCTTATCATCATCATCATCATCATCATACCTGCTGATTTGTATAACATCATAACCAAATAACAAGCCTAAATTTATTATACATGAGTCACATTCAAACGCCTATTTTATTTTTGTAAAGTAGAGTTTCACAAATTGTGCTCCCCTACATGTTTTGGATTCCATATCCCACAATCCCTAACAGCTGGTAAGCTAATTGGGATTTCTTGGAGCTGAAGTTCAAAACACCTGGAGAACAGTTTGAGAAACACTGTTCTAAAGTATCTGAGGACTATTTTTCTCTCTCCATCTCCAACATGAAAACATTTCCCAGTTCTTACAGTAGCAGTGAAGATATCTTGAAGTTCTTACCTATGCACTCCCCAGGTGATAACATTCGTGATAACATTTAACAAAATTTAGATTACTTTGATCCTATGAGCCATCCCCATGGGCATGACCACCTGAGAAATGTACAAACATGAGTTCTGGACAGAGCTTTAAATTTTTCCTCAAGGACTCCAAGGACCAAATCCCTCTGCCACTGGCCATGTTAGATCAGTATTGTTCTGGGAATTACAGTCCAGAAACATAATGTTTCCAAGCTCTGGAGTGAGAAGCCATCAATATTAACAACAGTTTTGTTATTATTAGAGGATGGGAGATCTCTGTTCCCTCACCAAAGCCCCATTCGGGGGGGGAGGAGGAGAATATCCTGGAGGAATAAAGCTCAGGTCAGCTCTAATTTGTATACCTCCTGTTTTGTAAAGAATTTTATTTCTATCATATGAAGACATATGACCTCAGTTTTGTTCAAGAGATAACACCAGCATGAAAAACAAACTCCCTACTGGAAAAGGATGCATCTCTTAATTTTTAAAAATATTCATTGATGAGGCCACTACATTTTTCTGAATAGTACAACAGTGAAAAACTGGCTTCATACAGAGAAAAGACTTCATTAAATAGCTTTGCTGCATTCCCTACCTAGATCTACCAGGGTAGGTGTATGGAGGGACGTGGAAATCTCAGCAGGGCTGAATATGATTATGAATAGCTTTAAGCATTAACATTATCATTCTATTTTACTTGTGCATTAGCTGCCTTTCTTGGCTGCTCTTTAATGAGGCCGGATTGTTTTTATTGTATTTTGAAAGGTGCTATCTATAAAGCATAAGATAATGATTGTAAACCCTCAAAATATGATATTCATACACAAACAATGCATAAATGGGTAATAACTGGGTTCACAAATGTCACTGGCTTCTCTAGCCTGAGGTGAGTAAGATGTATCCATGGCTTTCTAGGGAGGGAAGACATGAAATCAGCTCTTCCCCCTCATGCCTAAGCTGCTCTCAGACCTAAGCTCCAAGTGAAACAAATTCTGGCTCTGTGATTGTTGGATGCAGGTATAATGACATAACAAGCTTCTGACTTCCACATCCAGGAGAAAAAAAGGAGGGAAGAGGTATATAGGTCTTGTATCTACATCCCACAAAGGCGCTATACACCAAGTATCTTGGAAACACAGAAGCAAACCAAGGTGGCCCATCTTGAACTCTGAACTACAAGGAGAACACAGAGCTAGAAGTGGGGAGACATGGGCATGACTATGCCTAAGGTGTTTAATGTGTTTTGCCTGTCCCACTGTTTCATCTTCTTGGGCTCCCTTCATTTGCATATCTTCTACTCCTCCCTCACTCAGGGTTTTATCATTTTACCTTGTCCATTTGGCCTGCCCATCCTATTTGATTTTATATTGTGTGAATTTGTTTTACTATTTCATTTTGTTATTGTAATTTATTTTATTTTATTTTTTTATCTATTTGTTCTGTATTTGTAATTTACTGTGTTAGATAGTATTTTGAGAAGTGCTTGGCCTCATGTTAGCCGCCCTGAGTCCCCATTGGGGAGAAAGTTGATTGATGTTGTTATTGTTATTATTATTATTATTATTATTATTATTCCAAGATCAGGTTATCCAACAAAGATGAAGTACAGTATCAAGTCAAGGAAAAGACCTGTCTCTATTTTCTCCACAACCCATTCCCCCAGCTCCTAACTGACAACTGGAGAAAAGTGCAAACATGGCCCTTCTTCCATGGTGCATTCCAGAGGTGTAGAACTGGGTCAAGGACCTCCAGGGAGGGGTTGCTAGAGAGAGTAAGTTTTTATTTGCCAAGCAAGAATAGTCCAAATGTATCACTTGCTTGACACTTTCAGGTGGCCTGTGAGAATCTCAAAGTATATGATAAAGATTTTAAGAAACAAACTGAAAGTGCCAGCTGTAAACCAAAATTCTGCAAAGTAAATTAATAATTCATATGCGACAGAGGCGATGGAGACCCATCTCTTTAGCTCAAGGGTGCGAAATCTTTGTCCATCCAGATGTTTTGGACTGTAAATTCAAACATCCTTTTCCATTAGTCAAGCTATATAGGAGATGAAGAAAGCTGCAGACCAAAATATCTGAATGGCCAAAGTTTCCCCCAGCCCTGTCACAAGTCTTCCCAGAAGACTCCAGTAACAGATTGGAGGAAGTGTGATTATCACAAGCAAATGTCTTCCTCCTTGGAGACCACACATTTGCTTAGGAAGGAACCACATGATTTCCTTTCCCCAGATAGTATCTTCACAGTGCAGCTAGTCAGTGCCAGCCAGTAGCTTCCACATCACCGGGTTGGAAAATCTGTGCTGCGATTTTAGCGGAGCTATCTGGTATGTTGACCCCAACCTCAAAATAGATTCCGCATCTTGGACAGGTCAAAGCTCAGTCTAAAATCTGAAATAGATTCATCAGCTCATTGCCATGCAAGCCACCTGCTGTCAATGAGTGCAATGTGAAAGAGAGTAACAAGAACGGTGGATCCAATGCTCCTCTATAAAAATGAATTGTGCCACATGTGAAAAACAAAAAGATAAAGATATTCAGCAGTAGTCGCCAGTTTGAAGATTTATGGAAACACCTTCCAAAACCACAGAAATACAAAAAATGTTATATCTCTTCTTCAAACCTTGGCTGTGAATTACTTTAATTCACCATACCTTCCCACTAAACGTGTCAATTTTCTGAACTGTATTGGAAGTCTCATTCAGAATAAGGTTGCTGTCTGTAATATGATGCTTGAATAATCTTTAATTACACATATCTATTTTAATTTCTGCAAAGTTAATTATCTGTGAATTGCTGATTATAGAATAATAAATATTGGCTTGGGTAAGAAGAGAATAATACCATAATTCCCAAATATTCACTGTCAATCTGCTTCCCTCTGAGAACACCTCTTCTGTCTTTCTTTTGTTAACAATATGAACATCAATGTTGCAAAAACACAGTTAATGGAAATTGCTAACTTACCACAGAAGAATGTACAGTACCCAGGTTGGCAGTGTGAGACATTTTGACTGTAGATGAACCTCGGTTTAAAGAGTGTGACCTACTCACAGCAGACTGTCGGGAAAGTTGTACCACTGGCTTGGCAGAGAAAGGGCGGTTTTCAGTATGTATGGCCAAAGCGGAAATAGATCGAGGGCAACTGACTGAACGCCTGATAGGACCTGCTGCTGAGGGGGCAGATGAATAAGATGGGACTTTTTTAAGAGGTCGCTTCCAGTGCATTCGACCTGCAAAGAAATGCAATGGTTAAATAAAAGATTAGATTTCTTTTAAAAAAAAACACCACATAAAGAAGGATTCTGAAACACAACTATATATATGCAGAAACCAATTATTTAATATATTTTATGGGGGTTTTGAAAGCATGATACCAATTCTGACCTTCACAGGACATGCTTGACATCTGTTCGTTTCCAGCAAAACAATGTCTGTTTGGGGTCCATGTCTCCTCACCTGCACCCTACCCTGCAAATACAGCTAGTAACTACATTTTTCCATTGAAGGGCTCAAAAATAACTCCAGAGTATGATTTACATTGTGCAGGACTACAGCCCTTATCTGTATCAGCAGTTTTCTCTTTTTTTTCCCCGTGACTTGAGAGACTGCAAGTCGCTTCTGATGTGAGAGAATTGCCGTCTACAAGGATATTGCCCGGGGACGTCCAGATGTTCTGATGTTTTACCATCCTTGTAGGAGACTTCTTTCATGTCCTCACACTAGAGGAAGCATCTCTTTCTCCTAGAATGATATAGTTGTGCTCCTGAACAGCTACAGTGATATTGGAAGCAGAAGAAAAGGTCTAAATTCAATTGTTGGATTGGTAACTCTACATTTATAAAAATTCTTTCAATTCAGTAGGTCTTCTATAATTGGGACTAACAACTGGAATCCAGACTAAAAGTATCTTAATTCTTCTCCAGGTTGTAATAGCAACCAATCTATTTCTGGAGAAGGCACACTCAGTCAGCTACAATCACATATATCTGTTATTAGATTAAAGTGGTGTCAAATTAAATTAATTCAACAGCCCACCTTTGAAGAACTTGGAAAGTCCATGCTTTCAGAATATTGTTACAAGAGTTTTGAACAGTAGCAGAGGGTTTTTGTTTGGTATTTTCGTATTTGGATAAATATCATGTTACACTTATTGTTACACAAACTGCACTGGGCCTCTGCTTTCTTACATGCACAATTTAAACTTTAAAATTAAAAATGGCTAAGACACAGTCCATTTATGACCATCTCTCATGATATTAGTCTACCTAATGAGATTAATAGTGAAGCCATTAGAAGTATTCCATCACCTGCTGTAGTATGGGCCAAAGGAGTTACTTCTGTGCACTTTCTGTCATAACAACCAGAACATGGAACTCTCTGCCTAGAGAGGTTAATTTGGGCCCTTCTTACCTAGGGTGCATCTACACTTTAACAATTTGACACCATTTAAACTTTTCAATGTTATGGAATCCTGGGATCTGTAGTAGGATGACACACCAGCACTATTTGGTAGAGAAGGCTAAAGGTTTTGATACCCTACGATTCCCATGATTCCATAGCATTGACCCATGGCAGTTAAAGTCATGTCAAATTAAATTCTGCAGTACACATGACTCCTTGCATTCTAATGTCGAAGAAAAGACTTTGGCATTCAAGAAAATTTTTCACCTGTTTCATTTTCCTTTCCCCCATCTCTTTATTGCTTTAGATTCCCGATTTCTGCTTGTTTAATTGACAGTTGTGGGTTTGATATGTACAGATATGAGCTATATATAGGGAGACAAGAGTAGGGGGTGCCATTTCACATCAATGAAAGCAAGCAGAACAGTAAATGCTAAATTGAAATGGAAAAACTTCGGCTTTCCAGATGTCTTGGTCTACACTACGCATAAATCCCACCCAGTTTGGCCAGTAGCAAATGTTTGTGGAGATTCTAACCTCACATATCTGGGGAGCCCTGGGTTTCCTACCCCTGCACTACAGTCCTCCTGCTCATCATCCCTTCAGGTATGATATGACAGAATGAAGAGAGAAGCACTCAGAGGATATTTTCCAAAGCAATATATAGTATCTTAATGTAATAAAAGTGTAATCTCTTCCTCTTCTGCCTATGCACAATAAAGATACAAAATTACTTCATTTATAGGTCATTCAGAATATCTAATGTTTAGGAATTTAAAAAAAACTCTCTCCTTCCCTCCCCCCCCCCTCCATACACACACACACACATTTTGTATTTATTTAACTTACTAGATCGTTCTAGCAATTTCCTATCTTCAAGATCAAATGAGACATTCTTCTCCTTTTTTACATTTTCATCTTCTTTCTCAGCATCCTCCTCCCAATCGGACATTTCACTGCTACTTTCACAGCTGCTCCCACTGCTGTAGTTCTTGCTCTTCTTCACGAACTGTGCACTCTCTGGCATGGAATACAGGGGCTGGTAGTGGGACAGGAGGGGCAAAAGAGGCATGCATTAAAATCTCTTCACAACATCCAGGAGTGCAAAACACTATTAAGTGTTTAAATGTGTTTACACCTTGATATCTGTGTGGCTGATAGTGAGTGCAGAACTAAGAAATTTGGAGCGGAAAAGAGAAATAATTTATGAAAGAACTGGATCTTTACATAACTCAAACATAGATGGATACAAGATAGGATGGATGGATAGGTAGAGTTTCAGTTATGCTTTCATCTGATTGAAAAGATCTACAGCACTTAGATACAATGCCAGTCAAATCTTTTGTACTTTGAATATCTTCTAAAAGAGGTCATTTCAACAGACATGTCTTGCAAAGCAAGCATCATCTTCCTAAACTTCCTCTACCATACAATTAGTAAAGAACAGTTTAAAATTTCTCTCAGTGAAAACAAGTTTTGACCAAAGTCAAGTTGTTAACAGAAAATGCACCAGTCTCAAGGAACACAAGAGGATTAAGCTTTAAAATCTTACTTAAGTAAAACCTAAACATTTTACTCTTTTGTTAAATTTGTCGTGTTTTCTTGGATGAGTTGGGGAGCTGCTTTTAATGCCAGCCATTGTGTCTGTGATTTTTTTTCTTTACCCAATCACATTAGGGTTTGTTGAACATTAAATACATCTGGCGCAAAGCAGACACTTCCCGTCAGAGCAGGCAGCAACTGAGCTGGGCAGAATTCCAGAAAAATTTAACATTTTAATTTAAAAGGGTATACAGCGGTCCGGGAAGTCCAGGCAGTTTTCCAACAATTCTGCCCTTTCAAGACCTTTCTACCAAAGGTCCTTTATTACCTTTTTACAGAGCAATTGCCAATGCAAAGCTATTCCTCACAATAGACTCACACATTGCATCGGTTACTTCAATATTCAAACTGTGTGGGTGGCTTTGATCACACGGATTCTGCTCTTTGCTCGGGATGTAAAGCTTTGCTAATTTCATTCTTATAAGGGAGAAACAAGTAATTTATTCAATTTTCTCCTTACTAATAGGACATCTTCAAAGATTATGCTGCTTTCAAAGACATTTTATGACTCTCACAGCTCAGCACTGATATCCCTTCTCTTTAAGTATCTGATGCTCCTTCCAATCCTCACCACTGTGTTGACTTACTATCATTCTCTACTGTAGGGATGCCGAAAGGTCTACTTAAAAGGTTCAGAATAGCTAGTCTAATATTTTTAAAGCTGTTCCAAATACCAAATATTACCTCAGACATTACCAATTTGATTTAATTTCTTAAAATGTAAAGGGTATCAAGCTTGTGAATGAGTTTAATATTCTTTAGCCCAATCCCTAGAAGCTATCAGCAATTTTGAGTAGACTAAGTGTGTGTGTGGGATGGGGGAATGCTTTCACTGTGGTGATAGGTCTGTGAATCTGTGGATTTTTCCTCAGTTTTAATAATTCAGGCAGGTGTCGAATCCTAAGAGCATCAGCTTCTACAGTCAGCTTTTCACCTGAGAGATCAGCTCTATAGGAATTTCTAGTCCTTCCAGCACAACTCTATGGTCAACATTTGCACAACTTAAGGATATAGGAATTCCTAGAGATAACAATTTAATCAAATTCACAAAAGGGAAACCTGCAAATGGCCTATTGCTGTTGAAAGGAGTGATGAAGCAATTCAAATGCTGAGTAGAGACTAATCACATTTTCATTATTTAAATTGTCTTCCTCCTTCCCTTTCCTATCAGCAAACAGCAGTGGTAGCAAACAGCCAATCCCAGAGATTGAAGGCTGCTGGGGCAACAAGAAGAGAGAGAACTATGGAAACTGGGGTAGGTAATTTCCTCCCTCTTGTAACAAATAACTAACCCGTTGATTGCTTTCCCCCAAGCTCACAAAAAGCTTGTGAAACTACAGCACATAGAGAGAGAAAATGGAGGTACCCACTATACTATAAAAACAGCCTGGAGCCAGGACTTCTCCTCACTCACAATTATTGTTGTCAAGGTTTCCGGTAACAACCAAAAACAATGTCTAATTCTGAGGCATCTAACATGGGATAGCATCCCTGTGGTGTTTGTTTTCCTGATGAGTTTTAGTTACCTCTGGGTTGTTGTAGGTTTTTTCGGGCTATATGGCCATGTTCTAGAGGCATTCTCTCCTGACATTTCACCTGCATCTATGGCAAGCATCCTCAGAGGTAATAGTTATCTCTTTTTTTTTTGCTTAGATCCTTCATCTGGTTTGAAATTGTGTTGTAACACTAAGAGCTACAACTTTGGCAACAACCAAAAGCACATATCCCAAATTGTGGGTCTTGAGTTATGGCTGCTATCCATCTATCTATCTATACACACACACACACACACATATGCATGTTTTGGATAGCATAGGAAAGAGTTAACACCCATGTGGTATTTGTTATGCTGTTCATGCCCCTGTTCAGAATATTTCACCTCACTTTCTGTTCCTGTGATAAGTGGATTTTGAAAAAGAAATTGGCTTATTGTGGAAACAAGGATTGGTGAGAAAGCTTCAATAGAGACACATTTTCCCCATGATAATTCTTTCAGGAGTGAATTTCCCTTCCTAGGGGTAGATTTCTCTCACTTCCTGTTGTCTCACCCCTGTTTTTAACTGTGAGTCATTTGTACGTCAATGTTTGTAACTCAGGGACTGCCTGTAGTGTCTTTTGGCCATGGCTACCTTAAACTCTTGAGAGCAGAACAGAGAGTTAGTAAAAATAAGAAGTCAGTGGAGCATCAGTGGAACTTCATGGTTGTGAAATCAAGCACTGGATTGCTCCCCTTCCAAACACTCTCAATATTGACAGGTTTGCTGAGAGAAAAACAAAATGAGTCCAGCCCACTTTCACATTTATCAACATTTCCACAAGTCTTTCCTAGTTCAGTCCATCCTCTTGCATTATAAACTATTACAATCCAGGCTTGGAAAGAAATTAAAATAACAATACCACATTGCTGGGGAATAAAACCATAAGCAAAGGAAAGAGGACTTGGTCTGTTAATTCTCACTGTAATCCCATATGCATATGGGACATTATAACCAGTCAGGGTCATTTATCTTCCAAAATGCAAGGAATGGGGAAAGCAAGATCAGGAGACAGAAAACAGCCAAAGGAACAATGGGCAAGGTCAGATAATTGTCCTTCCTGCTTCCATAAAGCAGACACAAAGCAGAACATCAGCATGAACAATTCTCTTGGAACATATCATTTGCTGCAAGAAGGCTACCCTCCCCACTCATGACTGTTAATCTTTTTGCCAGCTGAGCCGTTATGTTTTTATTTGTCTGTTTTCTGATGATTCTTCAGTGAAAAGTAGGTCACTCGACATAAAGTGACCAATTTATCTTCTTATTGCTGTGCAACACATTCAATTGAGGATTGTGGCATGCCCTATAGTCCATCAAATAGTCTACAGCCCTGTCATTAGTCTAGCATTGCAGCGGGGTCAGAAAGAAAAAGAAATTAAGGAGCCACCTAAATGCCCCAGTTTTACCAGGAAGACTAATCTACCCCAAAATAACCCAGTATTTGGTGGAAGCTGATAATTCACTAAGTTAATAGACCAAGAGTTCTTTTAAAGATCAGGAAATTGCTAGATTCAGGATTTGAGATTGTTTTAATTTGTTACTCCCAAAATCCTTCAACCAACAATAAACTGGCCTGCTCTTAGGTATGACTTTGTCAATAGTATCTATAAAACCGTGTAGGGGTAAAAAACTAGTCAAGATCAGAATCTAAAGTTTGAAGCTGGCTTGTTTCCTAAACCTAAGTAACAACCTGGTTGACAGTAATACAAGGCAGCATTCCCAAACCTGGTGACCTATAGGTGCTTTGAAGTATAGTACCATTCGGCTCCAGCTACCATAAATATATGCATGTGTAAGAAAATAAATTGAACTATGAAAGACTTATAGCAATTTTGATAATGTGAAAAACCTATCCCAGTACAAACACTGCCATATAATCCAGTTCAAAACAGATAATCTGAATTTTATATGGCAGTGCAGAAGGGGCCCTGGAGAAAACACTTCTCTAGATATTACTAAGTCTTCCATGGTGGTTCTATTGTATGCTTTGCCCAATACCCCAAGACATTATTTATTTCAAGTAATAAAATTGGAGTTTCAGATTACGCAAAAATCATATTACATGAAGGATCTCAGAACAGATCCCTCATGTAATTTTTCTGAATTACAAAATCAAATCATGTTCTGATACTTTGCATTTGCACGTGGGAGTGACAGTATGTATGAGAGAAAGAAAAAAAAGATAACAAGGATGTGAACATTGGTATTATGTAAACATGCAGCAGTTCAAAGAGGTATGACATTGTTGGATGCAAAAGAACTGAATTAATGCTAGTGAACGTTTTCCAATAAGAAAGTACAAAGTGCCCTCTTGTGGCTATAGAGGAGAAGTACACAGTAAATCAAAAGGTCAAAGAAACTATCTCACAGCCAATAAGATAGTTGGCTTATAAGCCAATATCTTGCCATATAACTTTAAAACAGTAAATCATTTTCTTCCTTATTGAGGCCATATCTCTGAGCAGGTAATTCATTATTACAGACACTTCCATAGCAACTTATTCAATCATCTGTTCTCACTGCTGTCATTTGAGAAGATGGAGCAGTGTCAATAAGCATTTGTCTCTATAAATTGGTCCAAGCATTTATGTCATTATTTCTTTCTTTTTACTTTACAGAAAGTAAGGAGCACAGGACCTTGAGAAGGGCAAACAAGGGTGGAAAACCAGCCCTTCAGTTGTTGTTGGGACTGCAAGTCCAAGCAGTCATTAACAGCATACTCAATAGTGAAGAATGCTGGGTGTTGTAATCCAACAACATTTGATGCGTTCTATGTCCTCCACTCTGAGACTAGAGAAATACAATGCTGCATTCACTCATGCCAACATTACTTCTTAAACTTTTCCACTTTCAGTCCAATAAATGTTTATGTGATCCAAAGTACATAGGAATATAAAATAGGTATTATAAATACCTCATGAAAATAACTCATGAAGATCCATGTTACTTCCAAGCCTCGATCACATGCACCTCTTTACCACTGTGCTGCTACATTCCTAAATTCTATCTTTTGTATCCTCAATGTGACTAAGTACAAATATATGTCAAGTAATTCCATGAAATACCTTTGGTCCACGTGGTTTGACAGATTTTCCCATTAGTTTCTCATCGTCCAATTCACATTGTTCTAGAAGATCCAATATATCTTCTTCCTGAAAAGGATTGACATAAAAGCCATAATGCAGATGTATGAATGTGGCAATTTGCTTTGTATAAAACAATTATTGTACTCCGCTGAAGAGTTACAGTAACCTAGTTAGTTATTTTGAACTCAATTTTGTCATCTTTTATGAGCACAACGAAATCTGCTCCCTTGTATATTACAGCTAAACCCTTAGGCATTTTTACAGCATCTTTCAACTCAACATGAACAACTCAGCATCCCTTCACATTTGGGTAAATATTGTCATGCAGAGATACCTCACACAAGCACTATGCAACCCTCATGTAGAATAGCAACACTGTGCAACACATGACAATGGCTGGGTTGCACTGTATAATGTGAAATGCACAACTATCACATGCAACTTCAGTGTGCAACGTTGCTGCACGTGCAACTCTGCTTTCAGCAGAATATGGGTGCATCTCGGCTATATAAGTAACTCCACTTTATCTGCCAGGGCTCAATGCTGTGGGATCCTTGGAGTTGTGTTTTCATGAGATGTCAGCACTATTTGGTAGAGAACGCTAAAGACCGTGTAAAACTACCACTTCCAGGATTCCATAGCATTGACCATGGCACTGAAGTGGTATCAAACTACATTAATTCTCTGTTGTGGTATGGCAAATAATTTGTCCTACATGCATAACTTGACTTAAGCATGTGTATCTCACTAATGGAATGCCAGACAAGACTGCCACACAACAGGGGTGTGCCATTTGTGGCCATCTAGGTACTGATGGACTACAACTCTCACCATCCCTACCCATTAGCTTTGCTGACTCAGATTCATGGACTCTCCAGTCCAATAACACCTGCAAACAACCAACTGCCCACCCCAGCTATTCAGAAATTCAAAGCACAACTTTTCTCATGAATGCTAAAACAGGAACATAAAATATAAACTTTTTTGAAATTAGTATTTCCTTAAAAGGCTACATGTAGTTTAAAAACCAGGCATTTAAGATACTGCTTCCATCTACTGCAGTTACACTGAACCTATAGCTCAGATTCATCTCCTACCATGTCTGGCCCTGATAAGAGTTGGAGAGCCAATGGTTCCAAACCCCCAGAATGTCTACCTGGAGTTTTCTAAACAACACATCCCTTTTCCATTTAGAGTCCACTTAAAACAAAGCAGGGATACGATCAGTGAAGGCACATAGGCACAACTAACAGCCAACATAATTCCAGAAATAGGCACGTATGTGTCTTGTTTCAGCAAGTAGAATGAACATAAATGATCTCAGCTACATCTTTCTTCAGAAACTGATCTTTAAATACAGCTTAGGGAGCACAAAATATTCATGGGGAAGTGTTAACACTGCACAAACATGACAAGAAGTGTGAGGTGATAGCAATCCAATGGTACCTTCATCCTTTTCAGAGGGTTGTTCATTTCTCGTTGAAGTGATGCTGCTCTCCCAGAGAGGAATGTCTGAAAGGCAGCAGCTAAAAGAGTTTCATATTTTTCAAGCAGCAGCTTATCATCAGGAGGGTAAATCCGCCTAGGATTTTAATAAAGGAGGAAGAAAAACAAAGAAGCAGAGACAGGGATTACAATCTACAGAGTTTATTTCCAACACACATGACATTGACATGAACAAGAGTCACAAAAGGGCAAAATAGCTCTGCTTCAATTCTGTCTGACAGGCTGCGCCTATGAGATTATCGGCTCCACCTTAAGCACAATACTAAATCAAAAATGGGGGAAATGGAATGAAAAAGGAAGAGGGGCCGACCAAGGGCAAGATGGATGGATGGCATCCTTGAAGTGACTGGCTTGACCTTGAAGGAGCTGGGGGTGGTGACAGCTGACAGGGAGCTCTGGCGTGGGCTGGTCCATGAGGTCACAAAGAGTCGGAAGCGACTGAACGAATGAACAACAAAAAATCAAAAAAGATTGGGTGGCATTGGGTGGCAGATTTGCCCATTGTTCATCATCAGTGTGAAGCACAGACTGTGAAAACACTAATTCTAGTTCAATGTCTTCTGTGGATGATTTAACCAGGTGTGTCAAGTGTTAGCCAAGATATAAAGCAAAACAGGAGCAGAGTTTATTGCTGTATGAAAATATAAAGCTTTAAGTCTTTGAATACCCAATGAAATCTCAACTTCAAGTATGAAACATTAACCAAATAATGCACTCATAATTCAGAAGTATAGTACGTTTACCTGAACCTCATAAAATACGTCCTCTCTTGGAATTTTACAGGTCCTCCAGGCAATTCTATGGTATGCTTCTGCTGGAAGTTACCACAGAGTCATCTTGGAGGACTCAGCAAATTCATGGAGGATACATCTCTAGTAGTTTTCTAGATTTTCCAGCATGAAAATCTAGAAAGTCATTCATTTCAATAGGATTCACGGTTACCCTTGGTTTTCTGCTTCCACAGTAAATTCAGGAACATATGCCCTGTTAAATAAAGTAATGTATAAAAAGTGAATTTACTAACCAAGGAATACCCCAAAAGGGAGTGAGAAATTCATTAATGGTTGGCTTCTTCCTTTATCATTCATGAACCCATATTTCTCCTTCCCACAAAGCTAGGATAAATGCCTACCCCAGGCAACGCTATAAACTACCACTACCAGACCTTGAAAAAAGTTACTTTTTAAAACCACAGCCCCCAGAAAACTCCCAAACAATTCAGCCAGTGAACTTAATATACAGTTCTAGTATACAAAAGAAACTTCTCAATCTCTGGTTACAACCACTGTTTAATTGATGCAGATCAGCTAAAGAGGTCAAATCAGTTGGTACCAAGAAGTGGGTCAGACGTTTTTCTTGACAGTCATTAAAATGTTAGAAAAATAGCAAAATATCTCAATGGTCCTGGATTTATAAATAGACAAACAATGACTACAACATGATACATGTAAAATATCTTCACATCCCCCATGGGACCAGATATTGTTACAATACATTTCATTGTCCTACACTTTTCTTTAGCTATGCATTTGTGAGCAAGATTGGTTGCAGAGTGAAATTTGGGGAAGGATCCTAGCTCAGAGGATGAACTCATGCTTTACGTACAGATACCTTCTTTGCCATCTTTAATTAAAATGATCAGCAGTGATTGGAAAGACCTTGATGCCGGGCACAGCAGACAGTATGAAATAGATTGGCAAACTGTCTGGCCTTGTGTGAGGTAGCTTCCTATTTGTCTGTGACAGTAACAGGCAGGTTGCCTTTCAAGGATGCTTGCCCATCATTACTGATCTTGTAGCTTCAACACTCTTGATAAGTTTCCTTAGAAGATAGTCTGAAAACAGGAAAGAAAGGGTTTTGTCTTCTGTAATTAAAGCTAATCCATGGCTGTGCCTGACACAAAATGTCCTGGTTGAATTGACCCATTCTCCATAGCATGCATGCATGCATATATATATAACACACACACACACACACACATATATATATACATATACATACACACACACATATACAGAGAGATACTGAGAGTGAGAGAGTGTGTGTGAGAGAGAGCAACCAAGTGTTCAACTGAGCTGTCTCAAGCAAAAGATAGAAAGTGCCTGCAATTTAAAGAACTGCCTTATCGCATCAAGCAGAAAATCAGTTTACTATTCTCTCCAGTTCTCAAGAGTATACAGACTACAGAGTGATCTGAATTATGCACTCAGTATGTTAGACCAGAGTCTGGATGTAACTAGTCACTAGAGATGTAATTCTTTCATTCCCAAAGGAGCAGTAAGTATTTTTAGCAATTCTTTTCGAACACTCTGCCTTCCATATTCACAGACTGTGTATCTACAGATTCAACCATTCATGGCTTGAAAAAAAAATCCTCCTCCCCCTTAAAAAATCCTTCAAAGTAAGGCTTGACTCTTCCATTTTATATAAGAGTTACCATGTTACTATATCATTCTATGTGATATTGGAACTTGGGCATCCATGTATTTTAGTATCAATGAGATTTAGGGCCAGGGGGGTATCCAGGAACTAAGCCCCAGTTAATATCTGTTTCATATGAAGAAAATGTTATTGAAAATGTATTCTGCACAAAAACTGACACAAGGCTTTGCAGAGAAAACAGTATTTTCTGCTGAAGAAGCAGAATTTTTGCACACGCACACAAAGGGTGATATTTTCTGCACACTCACTAAATTTGCACAGAATAAAACTCAAAGTACAAAGATTCTTGTCAACTCAGAATTCTCCTTATTAAACTTTCCTATCTTTCAAGTAATATGTATTTTATCCATTTTTAATATTTTCAAATATCCTTCCTATCCACAATACTCACAATCAATAAGCTACTGGTAATTCATTCTTTTCTCCACTAATGATGCCATAAGTTGTATTACTGTTGTCACTTCAAAAGGGATGAAAAAACTCCTTCCGTGGCATAATTAATCTATATAGTAATGGATATAGCCTCACTAATGGTGGAAAAAATGGTATCGCTGTTGACTCATGCTAAGCCTTGTGCTTCTACATTCATTTTTTTAAAATAGCTAAATGCTATTTTAGTTACTTTTGAGAAATTGCAAAACATTTACTTTTAAATGTAACTATTGGTTTGGTGTTTATTCATTCAGTCGCTTCCAACTCTTCATGACCTCATGGACCAGCCCACGCCAGAGCTCCCTATAGGCCATCGTCACCCCTAGCTCCTTCAAGGTCAATCCTGTCAATTTAAAGATCCCATTCATCCATCTTGTCCTTGGTTGGCCCCTCTTCCATTTTCCTTCCATTTTCCCCAGCATCATTCTCCTCTCTGAGCTTTCCTGTCTTCTCATGATGTGGCAAAAGTACTTCATGAGCAAAGTTTATTGATTAGTCCACTGACAGTATCAACATTAAAAACAAAAACAGAAATAATCACTATCCTAGGACTCCCATAATCGTGAACTAACATACATTCAAACTTGATTAAGTTAAAAGATAATTAAAAATATCATCATTAAAATGCCAAGGTAAAATTTCAAACCACAAAAATTAAAAAAGAAGGTTAAAACAAAGGTTAAAATAGACCAGTTATTATACAATCCCAAGCCACTTCAGATATCTGCATCACCCCTACAGTTTACCCCAATCTCCTCCAGATACGCAGTTCTCAGCTGAGTTGCTTTATGAAGGAAAAGGGCTGTTTGGTGTGTTATCTTAGCATTCTGGCCAGCCATTAAGAACATAGTTTTGATATGGGGATCCCAGTGAGTCTTCTGTATAATGAATGGTCCGAGGTATTGATTTCTCTCTTTGTTGTACAAAACACAACTAAACAGTACATGTGTAATATCCTCTACCTCTGTTGCCCCACAGATACAGAAATGTTCATTATATGGAACTTGGTTAAACCTTCCATGTTTAACCATTGTATCTGTCCAAATCTGGTTCTAGTAAATACCCTCCTCTTTAGATATGTACTTCATCTTTGCCTCTAATATCCTTCCCTCCAGTGAGCAATCGGGCATTAGTCAAATCCTTGGAGTGGCTTGGCACAATAAAAGTAAAAAACTACTTTAAAAATGTCACTTTCCAAGCTCCAGAATAAGATCTGTACTGACACTAATGATAGTTAGAGTTAACTTTTTTTCTGAAGCAAGATTGAAAACAGGGCAAATTCATCCTAGGCAGAAAATGGGAGCACAACAAAGCCATGGCTGAAACAATCTGTGTCTTCGCTCTGCACCACATGTCAATTTTGCTGAGTATAATTGCATTTTAAACCCCAAAAACTCAGTACCACTTTCAGATTTTACTGCACTAATTTTCTCATCACTCCTCCTGTTACTCACCAGAAGCCATCTTTGCCCAAACAATTTAGGCATACAAATGTTCATCAGTTACAGCATTATCCTATATTTAAAAATTCTTTTGAATTGAAAACTAAGATTATTCAATTACCTGTAATTTCCCATATGCCTGTTTTCATGCTCCTCTTTGGAGATCTGCTTGCGTACTTGTGCAAGTGTCTCTTTCTAAAAAAAAAATCAAGAACATTTAAGAAGTGATTGACCATGTTAACGGGCAGAGTCTGAAGATACAGCTTATATATGTATAGTTTCAAAATATAATACCAGTTCTTCTCTCCTTCTTTCTAGGGACCGCCGTTGTTTTTCCCAGTCAGAAGACACAGGGGACAACCTTTTCATTGAACCTTGACCATAAAGTCTCTTCTGAGCCTCTGCTTTCTGCTTAGCTAAATTTTTCCTTTTATCACTTGTCCTGAAACAAAATTGACAGCAGACATGATAAAAATAACATATCCATCAAGCAGGGAATGTAGCTGGGCTGAGGAGGTGTTGAATGATGGCATTGCCCCCCAAAATAAGAATTTGGTCCTCATGAAATTTTCCATCAGTCTCCAATTTCTAGCATGGCAAAGTTCCCATTTGCTCTGTTCCCATTTACTGTTTAAAACAGTAAAAAAAACCATTAAGAATATAGTTACTAGTAAGATTCATGATTAGAAAATAAAATACAGCACATCATACACATGATTTTTAATATACTGTTGTTTGTTTTGTTTTTAACTTTTGGAAAATAAGAAGTCAATTTCATATTGTTTTAAACTTCTGGGATCAGTCTTGGATCCAACCTCAGGAAAGAAATGGGGTATACATTCAAGAAATAAGTAAAAGAAAATTCACCAAATATGTGGAGTCAAAAATGTACCTACTCTAACTCCAGCTTCAAAATAAAAGCACAAATGCCTAGATTATTATATATTCACTTTCAAAGGAATTTAGGAAAGTCTTCTTGTTCAATCATTTTAATTGTTTATCAATCTATCTAGTCTCTTGGTGATTCATGTGGTAGGGATGAATACTTTGTGCTACTATTTGGCAACAGTAAATTTGTTTTTACTAATTAATATTGATTTGCTATTTATGAAGGAACTGGAGTCAGAATCAGAGAGTGCATTTACATGGTAGAATTATGCAGTTTGATACCACTGTATCTCCATGATTCAATGCTATTTAATCCTGGAACTTGTAGATTGGTGAGGAACTAACATTCTTTGGCAGGGAAGGATAAGGACCTTGTGAAATTACAACACTCTTGATTCCATTGTATTGAGCCATGGCAGCTGAAGTGATGTCACGCTGCATTAATTCTATAGAGGAGAGGCAACCAGAAGTAGAGTTGCAGAACAGAAACATAGGTCACTTCCAGACAGCACCAAAATGTGGGACAAATAAGTAGGGCAAAAAATCACGGGACCTGACAGCAAGTCCAAACACAGACCTGTCAGCCCCAGTAAGTGGTCCCCTGCCATCCTGACACCTTCGTTTATAGCGGATTTTAGGAATCCGCAAGATGGACATGGGACACCTGGTGGAAGTTTACTTTTTGTTTTTTAATTGAATCTCCAAGATGCACTGGACCTGATATGTGCTCCTGTAGATATCTAAATGTACACACAAGCAGATTTCTTCTTATCTCTCATTCACTCTACTGTAAATTCAAGATCTGCTTAATTTCGTAAAGATCAGAACAAAGGAATGGATGCAGAGTTCTCATTGTGATTGGTTTACGTTTGTTTTTCCATTTAGCCACCTGTGTGTCCATGGCTCCATTTGTTTACAGCACAGATCAGCTATTTTGGGATTTTAAAATGCACACGTGTACTCAAGCAATCCACCAGGGATATATGAATGAAATCGTGTGTTTCTATGACTGCAAAGATATAATCATGTGAATATGAATATTTTCCCACAGAATTTGGATTTTAAGTGTACCTTTTTAGCACGCGTTTTTCATCTGTTAATTTGAATAAGTATGCATTTTTGTGAAACGTCATTTCACCCTGTTTTTCTATTTAGACACCCTCCCCCCCTTTTTTTTATCCTGGTTTCTTTTGTGTTTTAGAGCCTAAATAGAAGGGCCCACAGAGTCAAAGTCAGAGATAAGTTTTTGGCTGACTCCACAGCCTCGTAATGCGAGAAATTTGAGGATTTCATTGGGTGGAGAAGATTTCTTATTTAGGTAGGAAATACCCTAATTTCATACCACTATCTCCAGCTACTCCCTTGTTTGGTTATACTTATGACTTTGACAGCAGGTTAGTAACCATGACCCAGCAGGCAAAAATTTACGAGGCACAGGGATAAATATGCCGAAGACCAGAGGTTTCATTCATCCACACCAAGTCATGCAACAAATCAATTCATATCAAAAAATAAGAAACTCAACTATAACCCTCCATTCTTACCTGATAATTTTCCAAATTTCAAACTAAAGCATTAAGCGTAACATTGCGATTGTAATTGCAGATTTTGTTAAAAATATTCCCAATGTTGTTATGTTTAAATAGTAACACAATGTCCTAAATTCAACTGTTAGTCCTAACTAGGGTAGACCAATGGAATACATAGGATTTAAATAGCTATCCACTTACTTATACATGAATTGACTCTGCGAGTTTACTTTTGTCCACGCTAACAGTCAGATTTAGGTCAACGTCTGATAACATTACTTATTTCACCAGAAAAATAATGATGTTAACTGGTTACTCCTAAAATACCAGGGAGGTGATGCCTCTTAGGAATTTTAAGTAGATTTTTAAAAGAAAAAATAAGTTAAAAAAAACAATTAACAAATAAAAATAGAAGAAAATCATCATCAGCCAGCTGCACTGCTTTTAAAAAGTAATGTTCCCAACTCTGCAAAAGATACAGCTGTAAAAGATTCTAAATAAAAAATATATGCCAGATCATATGCAGGGTTCATAAAATATAAACAACTAAAAGCATTTTAAAAGGATAGACAGTGCTCAAAAACAGTCAATCTGCCCTCATTCATTAAACACTTTCTTTAAAATAGCTGAGGCATTGAGACAATCTGAGTGAACATATGTATCTGAGGGAAAAATGTATGCAAGACCACAGGAAGATATAAACCAAAGGTGTAATGTCCATATAAAGAATCCAAAGAGCACAAAAGAAAGAGAATACAATCAGATGTCCAAAATGTATTGCTACAAATGGAAACACATCAAAATCCTATCCTATTTGAATTTTAAAAGGCATTAAAGACCTATCTCTTCCTGTAAGCCTATGCAGGTGATTTTAAACTATTGATTTTAAATTGACATGTTAAAGTATGTTTAGGATGGCACAGCAGGTTAAACTGCTAAGCTGAACTTGCTGACCAGACAGCTGGCAGTTCAAATTCATGGGACAGGGTGAGCTCCCACTGTTAGCCCCAGCTTCTGCCAACCTAGCAGTTTGAAAAGATGCAAATGTGGGTACATCAACGGGTACCGCTTCTGCGGGAAGGTAACAGCACTCCAAGTGGTCGTGCCGGCCACATGACCTAAGGAGGCATCTACGGACAATGCCAGCTCTTCGGCTTAGAAATGGGCATGAGCACCACCGCCCAGAGTCAGAATCGACTGGACTTAATGTCAAGGGGAAACCTTTACTTTACCTATGGGTTATTTTGACATGTAATAATTTGTATTTTATTCTTATGTTTTTAATACATGCTTTTAAAATTATTTTAATTTTTTTTGTATAGTGTAGTATGTTGTACCCAGCCTCAATAAATTATTATTATTATTATTATTATCATCATCATCATCATCAATCAATTCAAATTGCATTAACATTGAATCAGTATTTACAACAACAACAACAAATAACCATCTTGTGTTGTAATTCAGCCAGCTGATGATGACGAGGGGCAACACCTAGACTAATTGGCCTCGGATTTCCTGATGTGCTTCTAACACAAAAGGTTGTATTGCATTGTTTTTAATTGTGAGTCGCTTTGAGTCTCCATATAAAGAGAAAAAGTGGGATATAAATAAACTTAATACTAATAACACAGCAGGTGTGGATGATGTATTCATAACTACAGTCCATGTACAGTCATTAAAAGGTGTTGTAATTGTAAATATTGGCACAGCACACCTGTAGGTAAATGATAAGTAGGCTGCAATATTGAGAATTGGGGAAATTCTTAGTCTTGATCTATAAATTGGTCATATCAAGAAGGTTGTATTGAGGATTCTCCATTACGCTATTAACAATTCCCACACAAATAGTTTTTTGTCTATTTGACTGTTTTGGTGGGCTGCTCAACTTAAAAGAAATTAATACTTTTGCTGAGAGTATGTTGATTGCAGGGTTGTTTATATTATATCCTACTTTGCCCTTCAAACAATAAAGAGTCAAGATAGTTTTGTGAAAACTCATCAGTTAGCATTTTCTTTTAAAACTATTTCATCTTGCTGTATTCTTTGACATTAACAATAATCCTTTGGATTGTTCAAAAACCTTCTGGATGAATAGTGTTTCCCCTTCTGCAGATGGTGGTTGTTTGTAATTACTTTCATGCTGTACAGTTTGCTTGTGAATCTGTGTCTCGTTTTATATACAGTTTGCAATAGCCTTTGGTCACAAGCAATAAATAGATGTATTAAATTGAAATATAAATTTACCTGATATTGAGGAGTTTTAATGCATTCAACAAAACACCTTTTTTCACATCATAGTCTATTTTTTGGTCTGTGCCAAAACTTGGGGCTCGGTTAATCTGAAAAATATAAGAGGATAGATCATTCCTAGAAATGTTTAATCCACACAATAATTCCAAAATATTCAGTTTTTCTATCTATACCTCACTCTTTTTTGTACACACACACACATTGGGTCATTTTTTTTAAAAAAAATCATCTTGCAAACATACCTGATTATGCATCTACATTCTGCCCTATGTATCGTCATACCTTATTTATATCCCAGCTTGTCACCAAGTATTTTACAAATTATGACTATAGTATAGCTGAAAGCATGCCAAAAGTCTATATTAAAATAGAATTAAACTACTAACAATTACAACATAAAACATACATTTAAAATGATGCAAAATAGTACCGAACACAGTTTTCTAAAGCAGTTTCATTTAAACTTTCCAGTATTAAAAGTCTGCCAGAAAATAAAAAGTCTTCATTTGTCAGTGGAAGGATAGCAAGCAAGGAGCAATTCTAGCTAACATAGTGAAGGAGTTCCAGAGCCTAGGGGCAGCCACTGAGAAGACCCTATCAATTGTATACACTAAATGTAGCTGAGAAGACGGTGGCACTGACAGAAGAACCTCTTTTTAAAATCCCAGAGTGCAGAAAAGCACATACGGTGAGATACCATCTGTCAGATATTCTGCACCTACATATGGCTTAGTCACATCCATTTTCACATGAAGTAGCTAAAGTTTCTGGTGAACCACCAAAATTGACAGAAGATAATTACATTTGATATCTCAATCTGATCACAAAAGAACAGGTTGTTGTCATTGCCTTTATGTCATTTACAGTTAAGGCTGTACACTGCAGAGGACCTACAAAAGCATCCCATGAACTAACTGGAAGCTGGGATGGTGGCCACAAAGATTTGCTGAGTGTGGATTGCTCCAAGCCAAGGAATATTTTTTTTCCTATCTCATTTGGCAAGATGTGCTGAAAAGAAGCAGCCTATCTGATAAGAATAAGTGCTGGAACAATTCAGAGCAAACCAAGAAAAGGAAACAGATAACACCACAGGAAAGCTGAGGTTTGCTTTCAGGGGAAGGCGTTTACCTTCTAGCAGAGCTGTGTGTCTGGTTTCTTTCTTTGAATGCTTCAGAGTTAGCCCTATGCACATAAGCACCTCTGCACGTTGTTTCCAGTTTCCTGCTTTACATTGTATATACACTGATCAGCTTCAGTGGATTTTATGGTTTGGTCCAGAATTACAGCTGAGAGGCTTTTTTGCTACGTTGTTTCCAGCTGAATGTGTGTTGCATCATGCATTGGGAATGTACATTTCATAGACATCCCAACCTCTAGACGGCTCAAACTGGATTTAAGTGTCTGTGTAGAAAGGCTGTAAGATGAATCATGGGGGTTTATCAATGAGATTTCCTCAGAGAAGTTTGTATTGCCTTCCTCTAAGGCTGAGAAAGTGTGACCTGCTCATGATTCTGCCGTGGGCTTCCCTGGCCAAGGAAGGATCAGAACTCTGGTCTTAGGAGTCATAGTCCAACATTCAAACCACTATACCATGCTGGGTCTCTGAGGAATAGAGCTGGAATTAAAATATGGTCCCAACTTATTCACTTCTTTATTCATTTCCATGTATTGACTCCTCCTTTCTCATTCTATGGACTTTTCATATTTTCATATTTGTAATGCCTATACCCACCACGGTTTCTCTTTTTCCCTGCCCTCTATATATCCTGAGGTTCTGTACACACTCATTCTCTCTTAAGTAAATCCAATCACCATCTCTGATTATTGTTTGTGCCCATAAGCATGTAACTTTTCTTATGAGCTAAAACTGCCATGTGAATGCACTGACTGCCATAAAGAGTAAATACTAAATCAACATTGACACCTCAATGTTCTAAAGGCTCTGCCTGTAGGTTAATCATTTCCATGATCCCAAATCTAATAGTATACATTTTGCATTATTTGCTCTTGAAAGAAGTATTGCACAGGGCTTTCCTTTTTCTCATCTGATACTTCATTTAGGCTTGAAATCTTTGGTTTTCTCCATTAGGAAAAAAAACCAATTGCAATATCTATGGGTTTGCGCATGATTCTTTAGAATTTGAAATTTATTTTAGGCTAAGCTTGAGAATCATGTGGACATTCAGATGTTCTTAGAGTACAATTCTTGGTGTCACTACACAGTGGAAAGGAATGATAGGAACTGCAGTGAGATCTAGATGGACTTATGATTTCTCCCACCCCTGGTTTATATACATGATTGTTCATTCCTGAACCTCAATCTTCTGTCTTGCATGTGACTATAAATTATCCCGTTAAATTGCACAAGACTCCAAAACAACTGGAAGCAGCCAGCTATCTTGGCAAGGCATGCAGTAACACAGAGAACACCAGCTTGGTGTAAAGCAATGTTTCTCAGGGTACCTAATCAGAAATTAGAGGGGTTTTTTCCCCAGTGTATCAGGGATCAGTATTGTTTTTGTAACACTGGCTTAAAATGTCTCTTTCTTCCCTGGAAATCCATTAAGGACAAGCAGCAAAATTACCCAAGGACTGACAGTAGTCCAAGAACCACCACTTTGAGTAACTCTGGTATAATAATAATAATAATAATAACAACAACAACAACAACAACAACAACAACAACAACAACAGCAACAACAACAAATAATTTATTCTTGTATCCCGTCTCAATTTCCCCAAAGGGACTCGGGGTGGCTGTGAGTGGTGGGTTAGGACTCTGGAGGACCAACATTTAAATTCTTGCTGACCTATGGAAATACACAGGGTGACCTTCATCAAGTCACAGACTCTCAGCCTTGAAAGAAGAAAACCAAATATCCTCTGAATAAATCTCACCAAGAAAACCCTAGCATAGCTTTTTATCATACTGGAGCTGACTTGAAGACATATAACAACAAAACCTATGAAGATTTGTTCAAATATCTAATGTGTTGACAATACTGTACAGCTCTCTGAAAAAAAAACTACAAATGTATTAGTTAATCAAAGTAGTAGTATTCTCCATTGAACCATACGAATAAAACCGGCTTGGCAAGATCTTCAGCTCAAAAGGGAACACTTTGTGATTCTTCCACTAGATGGCATAGCATAGCTCACCTCTATTTGTAATTTGCATTTGCCAGAAATGTTTGGAAGCATAAGGTCATGAGAGTATAATTTGGAAAGAGCAGCATTTCTATTTTATTCTTAAAACCCAGAACACTCAAAAATGATTGGAGATTATGATGTTCTATCCAAGAATATTTTTATGGTAAATTACTGGTCATAACCCCAAAAGGTCAGTTACGTGAATGTATACACAAGATAGGATATAGAGAACAAATTTCTATCTTTATAGTGACATTCTGAAGGACTTCCTGCTGCTTTTCAGCAGTGCGGCATATTACACTACACATGATTGTGAGCTGCAGTTTCAGATCAGCTCAAGGACACTCTCTCAAGGAAATCCAAAACCCTCAAAAGATTAATTCCTTATTGACCAACTGAAATGCACAAAGCACAGCATGCAAGCTTTCAAAGACTTCTTTAATATGCAAAAAAATAATAATAATACAGGAGAAGAAAAGTGATAATAGAGTCACAGGTCCATATTTTGTATCAGATGTTGTTTCAAATGCCATAGTGTAGTTGGTTTGGAAGAATCTTAATGCAGGTAATTAGTCTCCTCTTCTTAGCCATGTGGGGCTAAGGCTGGATCTACACTGCCCTATATCCCAAGATCTGATCGCAGATTATCTGATTATGTCCACACGATGTCTCAGTTAAACATGGATTAATCTGGAACAAACTGGGATTTCCCAGTTTACTCTAGATTGATTTAACACCTGAAAGGTCCAGATCTTTCCAGGTGTGGACGTGCAGGTATTGAATTCTGGGACCTCATTCTGTGATCCTGGGGGTCAATCACATTGCCATCCTGGTTCTTCAGGTGCAAAAAGACTGATGAAGTGGGGGGGCACCCTTTCTATCCCTTCCCAGCCCCCCATTTTCCTCAAAATGTATCTGAGGGGCCTGGCTGCATGCTCAGGCCCATCAGTTAAAGCTCTTGGCATGTCAAAAGCCACCCCCCTCCAAATTTTCCAACATATAATTTATACGTGTCAGGAGCTTTAGCCAAGGAGCCTGTTCATGCAGCCAGGAATAGTCAGATAATCAGGGATCGAATCCTAGGGATATAGGGAAGTGTAGATCCAGCCCAAATGTCAGAAAGCCAGAGCAATCTATACTCGGGCATGGGAAATGCGTTTGAATATCTACTTGGAATAGAGAGCAAATTTCAAATTTCCTCACACCTTTGGTCAATCTTCCCTTCATTCTCCACTTCCTCCTCCAAAAGAAGGAGATGGCTGCCATCATGAGAAATTTCTGAGCACAGATAGAATTCAGGAATGAATCAAACTCTCTGCACCTTCAGGCAACCTCTCTTGACCTCTAAGTTTGTTAAGCAAAAGTAGTTTAAAAATGAGGTCATGTGGTACAGTAAACTCTTGGACTATTTGTTGTTTGCCCCTCCATTCCCTCAACTTCTGTTTCCAAACTATAAGAAACATTTTAAGATAGTGCAGCTGAATAGGGAAATTAGTTGTGCTAGATAGCTCTTTCGCAACCCATCACTTCATAAGCATATATTTTGTATAATATGAAAATATGGCTACCTGGCTCTGGGAAACTAGAATACTGTGACTCTAAAGGATAGAGATAAATTCCTGATGCCTGGTAAGGCAAAGAGTTAGGAGAGGGAAAAGTTTGAATTCCAGTCTTCTCTTGAATGAACAGCAGTGTGAAAGGAGGGGGAAAATAGTTATTTTTAAATTGGCAAAGGAAAAAAGAGAGAAACAGCACTAGAGGGAAAGAAAAACTGGTCAAAAAAGGAGCTGGTAATGGAAAAATGAAAGAGAAAGAGTGCTACAATACAGACCATACTCAAATAAAGCTAGTACTCAGGTAAAACTTGTACTATTTCAAGCATAAAAGGCAAAGCCATAAAGAACAGTTGAAAGATTCAGGTTATGTTTATCCCAGAGAGAAAGCATTTTAAATCATAATAATCTTCAAATACCTGAAACACTTGTCACATTGTGGGAGCAATTTAATTTTTCTGTTGCTCCAGAGGGAAGAATCTGAATCAATGGGTGCAACACACATGGAAAGTGGTTTTGAGTACTATTCAAAACTTCTTAATTGAAATGTTATTAGATGAATTGCCTTGGTAGATGATGGACTCTTATTTGTTTGAGATATTTAAGCAGAGGCTGGATGGCTATCTGTACTAGACATATGCACAGATTCATTTTAGCTGTTTTCCTTCAGCTTCTCTGATGACTGTAACATCAACGGCTCAGCCACCATTTTTTTCACCCAAAACAGCCCATGTGGCAGCTGGGTGTCACTTCCTCCCTTCAATTCGGGAGCACACAGCGAATGCTTCCCTAACTTTGTTCCTCAAACCAGGCTCCCTTGAAAGGAAGAAAGAAAAGGAGCCCAGGAAGGGTGCTTCCTTATCCCTGTTGCTCAAACCCAGGCTACCTTGAAAGGAAGAAAGAAAAGGGTCTTTCTTAACCCCTTCCTCAAACCCAGGCTCCCTTGAAAGGAAGAGTTCCAGGAAAATGCTTCCTTAACCCTATTAATCAACCCCCCCCCCCAAATTAATCAAACCCAGGCTCCCTTGAAAGGAAGAAAGAAAAAAATCCCAGGAATGGAAAGTGGAGTGTCATAAGTTCCCCACTGCCACCAATGGGCCAACTCTTCTGGGATCTTTCGCTGCCTAGCTGAAAACAGGTATTTCCGTCAGCCGATTTTCAGGAGGCTTCCGAAAACAGATCTGGGTACTCAATGAAATTCAGATACCAAAAACAGATTGCTCTCCAACTGAATTGAACAAGCCTAATTTGTACCAGTTAATTTCCAGTATCAGCCAGAGGTGTGGGTGGTTAATACTTGGTGACATGCAATGGCTGGTATTCTATTAATAGTTTGTTGTGTTGTGTATGAAAGCTTCATTCATACAGACTTGATTTTAAAACTACCATAGCTTTTTATGACTTGGTCTGTGGTGTTCTTGTTTTGCAAGTTGCAAAGTGATAGTTTCAAAGGGGGAAATATAATATAAATCTGCATATGGCTACTTCAGACCATATGCAATGCACACATTGTATGCAGATTCCAAGATTTATTTTCCTGATAGCATACCCATTCAGACAGATAGAGAACATTTAGAAGCTCTGTTAAAATGGAGAAAAGGAAGAAGAGTGTGGTAAATTCTTCCTTCACTTTTTCTATAGCAACATTCAAAATGGAATTTACTTCTATCACAAGTAGTGAAATCTGTGGGATCAAAATGGTCTCCAGGGGTCACAGAACTTACCATTTACAACATGTGTGTTTTAACAGAATAAGGAACAGAAAAGTGTGAACCATTTCTTAATTTTTTGAAGAATATTAGGCCAATCTAATCGAGTATATGGATACCTATCATAGCCAATTAGGAGCTTCGGGAAAGCCCACAATATCAATCTGAAGACAGCAGTCTATCGCTTTACAGTACCTATTTACTATTCAGAGCTATTATGCCTAAATGAAAGTTCTGTTTTACCCTCTTTTTGTCACACTTTTCCAGTTATGTTTAACATATGAACCAGCTGTCAGATGAAACTATCATCTAATATTCTGAATGGCATTCAATGTCCCACACCCCTACCGGATTAAACAGACAGGATGTTGATTTGCTTTCCTTGATTCTAATGCAGATTTAGTAAAAATGATTTTTCAAGCAGCTTACCTCTAGGAGCCATGGCTTGAGTTTTCTGTCCAGCAGAATATCAAAACCAAGAACTTCAAAGCAAACACTGTCACTTCCTGGAGACTGCCCTGGTCTACACATACGGTAAGCATGAAGGACATGCGGCTCTGCTACTATGAGTGTCTTCACCACTAATTCCTGGGGGATTGTACAGTAAATTGGGTTAGCGACTGGCTATTTTTTAATTTAAAAAATCTTTTTTATTTTAGAGTACAAAAAGATATTAAAACATATTCAAATATAGAAATTGGCCATATAGAAGGAAGACTCTAATCAACAGTTCTTTCCAGTGAAATCATAAAAAAGATAGTGAATTAAAATTAATTTTAAGAATAAAATCAGAAATGCTGAAAGCATGCTAGCAATTTTATTGAACACATTTCAACAAAACGTTGAATGTCAACAAACAGGAACAATCTGATTATTTGCCCATTTGTCACACTCAAGTATCTTGCCCTCAGGGAATGATAGTTCCTGGTATAGCAAAAATGCTCTCAGGTTTATGCTCTAATAATTCAGCAGCATGAAAAATGTATATTAATCAACTCCTAAAGATGTATCAAAAACCAAACAGGGTTACACTCCTAACTGAAAAAGTGAGGAATGTAGTTAATATGAGTGTGATGTAGTGGCTTGAACATAAGACTACAACTCTAGAGGCCAGGGTTCAATTCCCTGCTCAGCTATGGAAACCCAGTGGTTGACCTTAGGTGAGTCACACCCAGACCCAGAAAACCCCATGATAAGGTTGCCTTTGGGTTGCCATAAGTTGGGAAAGGCTTCAAGGGAAACAGGCAAAATAAACTGTTAATATGCCAACAAAAAACATAAAAACAGCTATTGCATATTAGTTTTCTCTTACTGAAATATCATTCCAGAATTTGGAAACGTCAAGGTGATTTGTTTGCAGAAACTCAGTAAACCACTTTATAGAGCGCTTACTGCCTTTATCTTCGGTTTCATCCCGTTCAAAATGCTCATTATGCTTATTCACGGAGTAGTTGGTCAGGTGCATATACAGTTGGCTCTAAAAGCAAGGGAAGTTTTGCTTTAAAAGATTCCATGGGATGCATTAGAAAGACAGCACACCAATGTTTTAAAACTGATGACAGGGCAGAAGATTGAACTTTTAAAGGTAAAACATTACATCACAAAACATGATATAAAATTGCTTATTAGCAAGATGAAGCTACTGCTGATGTGTGGCATAAGTTCACATGCAAGGTGGCCGATAAGAACTAGAACTATATTTCACTGACTTCACTAAAGAGTTTACTCATTTTTTTTCAAATGAAAGAAATTCAAAACATTGTAGAATTAACACATTGACACATTTTAACTGCCATGGCTGAATCCTAAACAATCCTTGTAGTTGTAGTTTTGCAATGTCTTTAGCCTTCTCTGCCAAAAGTGCTAGTGCCTCACCAAACTACAAATCCGAGAATTCTAAACCATTGAGTCATGGTAGTTACAGTGGTGTCAAATTGCATTAATTATATAGTGTAGATACACCCAAAGGGAAAGCAAGATCAACCAAAGTGATTTACACGATATAATTGGCCACCTTTCCTTTGCTGCCAATAGGAAATTGGTTCATTTCTAAACTGTTTTATATTGTACTATGAAGTGCTTTGTTTAACCTTAACATCCACTTACCAGGTTTGAATCATTGGGGGGATGATATTTTTCTGTGCCCATTCTCACTAGCCCATCGTGATATAAAAATATTTTTAAAGGATCGCAAGAAGTCACCAGAATATATATCCTTAAATCAAATTTGTAGCCTTCCATAAGAAAGGGCTTGTCAAGGTATTCCTGGACTATCAGGTGTTCTTGAGAATGCAACTTTTCTGCATTTCTTGTAAGGGAGATCCTGGTTAAAGGCATAAAAATATGTTGAAAATGCTGAAAGACAAACAAACTGAAAAATGCAGTTTTTATTATACCAACTTTGTCAATACAGAGATTTGTGCTCATCGTTAGCTTATATCAGGCTCAGGAAATGTTGCTTCCTTCAGCCATATACACTAAAGCAGCCATATGGTATGGTATATTAAGTGTTTATATACACCTTCTACTTCTGATGTCAGAGTATGTAAAAAAAAACCAATACGAAATTACACCCAGCACTTCAAAACCTAAAAATGCTGTGTTTCCTGTACTGTCACTGCAGGTAATCATACCTATCTGGTGCTAATAGAGAATTGACAGCAGTAGCATCTTAAAATTGTGGATTTAAATCAGTTTGCTAACTCACACAATTTTTTTTTCTTATAGTTTATTCAGATGCTCTGTTGTAAGTTTCATCAATCATGTTACCAGTTCCTACACATGTCAACTGCAAACAATCCTGACCAGGCAGGCTGTCAAGGGCTTGTTTAACAATTTCATACTTAACTAGAAAGAGTTTTATCTTACTATCTTTTTAAAGTATTATTTACTGGTGTTAAGCTTGTGCAAACATTAATTATGCTAGATAAAATCTGGACATGTACATGTTCTCAAGTTCTTGGATTAGCACTGGAGAGAAAGAATTCTTGTCCACTATTCGGTAGGGAAAATTTTCTATTATTTACCTTTAATATGCATAGCATATTTAATATAATTCTTCTTACTGAATTTGCCTATTGCCTTCCCCAGAAAAGGAAAATCATCCCTAGGGTAATTTACATTAATAAAAGCAGCAAAAAGAAACACAAGATGAAGGATTCACAACAGATGTTCTTTATGTCATACCCATGCCCCATTGCCCCATTAGCTGGCTTGACTATGAATGTTTTCTGTCTGCGTTTTCTCTTGAGTTCTTTCACATAGTTCTGGAATTGTGTATACTCTGCTGGGAATATCCAAGTCCGAGGAATAAAACTGTATTCCTGAGGCTGAGATTTTATCATTCTGAAAAACAAAAGAAGAGCATCAGTGTAACAGGTTTTTAATAGTTTGGCATTTAAGCTTGCTCCATTTCCATGTCATTCATTAAGATACGTCGCCTCTGGCAGCACAATCCTAAACAGGTTTATGGAATAATAAGAACCACTGAATTCATTAAGGCTCATTCACCTAAGCATGCATAGGAATGCAGATTAAATATTCCACTAGAGCCAATGCCATCAGTTACAACAAGGTTGTGCACCAAAAGGATATAAGATCAACCTGTAAAACACATTTGCATTCGAAAATGTTAATTGGCAAGCTTAGAACCTCCACAATTACTAGGGTAAAAAGTAAAAGATAAATATATTTGCCAATACAGATAGTTATTCAACTGTTTTGTACTTTATGGCTTTCTCCATCCACTAAGAAAGAAGCCTTACACAACATAGATTATGCCTTATCCAAAATTTCAAAATACTTCAAAATCTGAAACTGTTGACATAGATGGCTGAGACAGTAACACCTTTGTTTTCTGATGGTTCAATACATACACACTTTGTTTCATACACATTTTAAAATATTATATAAAATTACCCTCAGACTATATGTATAATGTATATATGAAACATATGAATTCTGTGTTTAGACATCTCCAAGATATCTCATTATGGGCAATATATGCAAGTATGGGCAGTCCAAAATTCCATTTAAAAGCAAAAATTGATGGAATAATGGAGATTTTTTTTAAAAAAAAACTTCCATCTGATCTCTTTCTTCCTCCAATTGTTACTTCAAGATCTGTCTAAGGGCCCTTCAACACTATTATATAATCCAGATTATCAAAGCAGATAATCCACATTATCTGCTTTGAACTGGATTATATGAGTCTACACTTCCATATAATATAGTTCAAAGGAGATAATCTGGATTTTATATGGCATCATAGAAGGGGCCTAAGACTATAAAGTATAAAATAAAAAGTTTCAGAGAATTCTAATTCCTCTCCATTTGTGGTTCCTTTGAACCACCTGTGTGCCCATTTGACAGCCTGATCAGTTGATCAGCTGTTTCTGACTTTTAAAACTGCATGTCCACTGAAGAAGTCTACACAGAGGGGAGGGAAGGAAATCACATGTTTTGCATGACTGCAGGAAGATACAGTGATGCGAATATGCACATTTTCCAGCTGGAATTGGCATATAAGTGGACCTTTTTAACAAGTGTTTTTCATTTGTTGCTGCAAATCAGCACAGATTTACCAGTAGTGTTATTTATCCACCCCCTCCCCTTTAACCTGGTAACTTCTCTATTTTAGGTTCTGTGTAGAAGGGCCCTGAAATGGGAGAGAAATAAATGTATTTATATGAATTATCATTCCTTGACCTAGATATCCAACTGAAATCTTGGTTCCTTTCACACTATACAAGTCTGGTGCTATGGTTCCAATTTAACAGCCATGATTCTATCCTACCCTCGAATTTGCAGGTTAGCAAGGGATGTGTAGAAGTCTAAGCAAGAAAACTCCTCTAGTGCCTCACCAAACTACCAATATAGAGATCCCACAGGATACAACAATAGCAGTTAAAGTAACATCATAGTGCTATAAATGTGTAGTGTAAAAAAGCCTCTTGAGACACCTAGTGTTTGAGGTATTAATATAATTATTTGTGGAACAATACCAGAAAGCACAGAGGTAGTGTTCTCATGTCCACCATGTGATAAAGATAAAGCCAAAAAAGACATTAAGGGTTTTGCTGATACTGTATTATTTCAGCTAGGATGTGGTGCAGAACCCCTACCCTGGGTGTTGCAACTACTCATCTTGGCTACACAAGTTTAAAAAAGATGCCAAGCACAGCTGTAAAACCAGGATTGAAGCCAAAAACATCAAGGCCTTGGTACAATAAGTGGCCTGTTATAAAAGTCCCTAGCTAATTGCATAACAAAACACTTTTTAAAAAATAAAATGCATAATTGGCACTCTAATTTTTATTTTGTTTTATGAGCCTTGCAGTCACAAAATATTGGCTCTGCACTGATTCAGTATATTGCTAGCAAGTGATCATATGTGTAATCGTATTGCTTTCTTGTTTATGGCCCAGCAAATGTGATCTTATTGCTGTCTTTAATGCCTAGAGCACACTGAAGTTGTATTTTCCTTTATTTGAACAAAGAGTTGTTTCATATACTCAGGCCTCATCACTTGACTCATTATCTGGTTATTCCCTATATAAATTATATACATTGAATGACTGAATTGTCTTCACTGACAATTGAGAATATACCAAAAAATCATATGTGATTGATTAAAAATGTTTCAAAAATCATTACAAAATAAGAGGGTGCTGATGTTTCATTTCTAAAGTATCACTAGTAAAACTTTCATTACTATAGCAAAATTTTGTTATTTGTTCATTATAGTAGTTGTGCAAGTGGGGAAAATTCAGGGACTCCTTTCTCCCTCATTTTTGCAGCTATTGAGATGAAACATGCTACAATAGTAGAACACATTTAGCACTGTTAGCCTGTCAACTTGTCCATGGAGTTTTGGGGAATTTTCAAAGTTTTTATACATCATTTTAAAAAAAACTGCAAGAGTTATCTCCTTGAATTTTCTATGCAGTGACACAAGATAACAGGGAATTATTCCCCCCAACCTTCAGAAATATTAATACAGCTACTATCCAAAGGTGGACACCAACACTTGGAGAGATGAGGGGAGTTGGGGAGGATGTTAGAGCCCTCTTGGATACTCCAGACTGAGTCAGCCCAGAAAACCTGAGAGGGCTGTCTGCACTGCCCCCTCAGAACTTCTGAGGGGGCAGTCCAGACACCAGTCATACTCAATTAGACCAGAGTCTTTCAGGATTTGATCCGAATCTTTCAGGAAGAATTGGGTCTAATCCAGAACCAAATTAATTTACCACAAAGCAGGGTTTTCCTGCTTTGTCACAAATTAATGCATTTTTACATGAGATGTTGTTTGGACACCCCATGTGAAAATACAGGAGGACGCACATTTTTCCACTCTGTGTGGATGTGTCCTCAGTTGTGGCACCACAGTTGTGTACTGCCTTCCCAGGGAAATTTTGTAGGCTCTGTTTTGTCTGAGTTTCTAAGTGCTCTAAGCTGTTTTTATTGATGTCACCCCACCAAAACGTATGCTGAAATAGGGCAGGTTAGAAATATGCTAAATAATGAATTAATCATGAAATGAACATATGAACAACATAACCAAACTCTCATTTTTTTTGTTTGGCCTACATAGAGTTTGCATTCTGCTTTCCTATTGGACCAATACAAGTACCTACTTTTGAGGCAAAAATTTCCAGGCTCAGCTCATAGCAGCATTAAAAGAAGGAAAGACCACTATATAAAAACAGCATACAGCTGTTTGTTGTGTGCTTTCCAAACATCTCTTTGACCCCAGCTCATAAGTCTTGACAATCCTTAGAGGACAATCCTTAGAGGAGAGAGATAATATGCCTAAATTTTCTCACCCTTAGCTATAAAGAGCATTTTAACACTTGGAAGTATCCTGAAAAGGAGCCGGGAGGCAGGCAATTTTTCTTTTGCTTATCTTGAAGCAAAAATAGTTGCAGAAAAGTGCTTACAATCTTACCCAGCACAGATAAAACTTTCAAAATTTTCACTATTGTGTGAAGAAGGCAAAATAATTAAAATTTTACTTCCCTAAATAAGAGTATCAACAAATGTAACACAGATGTGAAAAATCAAAAGAGTTCTAAGGTGCTGAAAATTAGATTGCGTGTCCTTTTGTAATGGAGCACATCTCTGCAAAATGCAATCATCAAAGCAGCTACAAAAAAACAAATAAACTGATTGCAACAGACTATGACAGTCCAGAGACATCTATTGCCTTATTTTGCCATGTCAGTGAATTGCATGTCAGAATGTATTAGCTTCCCAAAGTAAAGGAGAATGGAAAGGTAGCAACAAAAATATGGAGTAAGACAACACATTGCCACATCCCATTTCCTCAGCTGATGTTTTCACACATATCAGCCACACATGCCACTGTACCTTTTTTCAGTCACAAACTTGCCTCGAGACATCATTATTAGAACAAGAGGAAAGAGGAGCTTTGTTTTGCTACATCTACAGTATGTTCACTCAAAAAGAACTTGAAACAATAATTTGTGTGTAGATGAACACGTTTCTCTCTGCTTCTATGAATTTAGTTCTTTGTGGGAGAATTACTCAATCTTAAACTACCTTCCTTCTGCCCAAATGTCTTCTTTCCACATTTTAGACTCCCTCACTTCTAAGACACATTTTTGCCTTTGATTTCCAATGATAATTTAGTAAAGTCGGGCCCCAAGAGGTTCAATACACAACTGGGGCCTCATTCGGATAGTCCTCTGCCCCCAAGTGTTCTCATTTCTTCATATGGAAAAATAGACTACTACATTTTTCAAGTGTACTAATAAATGCACCTTACCCATGGTGTTTAACACAGGGGCTTTCATTAAAAAAGAAGAATGTCATATTTCCCATTTTTGCAACCACTGTCCATTAAAAATATGATGAAAGGATTGTTTTTAAAAGGATCCATGGGAAGTGTTTTATTTTAAATAGGTTGCCCCCAGTCCCATGGATTACATGAAAACGGCGAGGAAGACAAATCAAACCTCAAATGAATGTCCATCTTTTTTTTGTTTCCATCTTTAAAAAACCATTTATTCATATTAGCAAAGTTTTAAGTAGGGACTACTGGTGAAAACAAGCCACCAGCCTCTTCAAAGTTGCCCAATTTAATGTTGGTTGTATAAAGGATGAAAGAACAAACTGTCCAACATAACACTAGTAGAAAAGTGCAAGAGCCAGGATCAATGGATGCTTATGCTACTGCTAGTTAAACAACCAAGAACAAGTAGTTCTTGGTATGTTTGCTATGTTTGTTGACTTCTCATACCAATTAACAGTGCTCAGTGTAGCTTCAAAATATACGTAATGGTTCTTTAACAAACCATTCTGGTCACCTTGTGAAAAACAGATTTTGTAATCTCCATTCTAGCCAACATTCCCCCATTGTTTGTTTGTTTTTTTAAAAAATGAAAGAGCAAATTACTTGGTCATGTTTCTCGCTAAGAAATCCTTCCTACAGATCTCACCCATTCCTGGAAAATGGTTGATTCTCTGCAAAATTAAAAAAAACATACATTAGAAAGAGTATTTGGGAGAAATGAATCATTTATATTTGAAATTAAATAGGTTGCCACAACCACAAGCAGTTATTATTAGTCATCGTACATATTTAGCCTTATGTATAAGTCAACCTCATGTATATGTCAAGGGCAGATTTGGGGCCAAAATTATGGCTTTTTCTACAACCCATGAATAAATCAAAGGTAACAGGGGCATGTAATAAACATTTTCCTCTCCTTTTAAAATGCATAGAAAAAACACAGGAGAGGGACTGTTTTTTTTTGTTTTTTTGTTTTTTGAAGGGTTACAGTCAGAGAAGGAAAATTACATTGCTGACATTAAAATGTCTACCTAAATATGGATAGAAATGGGAATATAAATTAGTAAAAAGAATGGGAATGTGGTGTGAAAAAGTAAGGGAGAGAAGAGCAAGGAAAGCAGACCACCTCTATTAGGGACTCAATGTGAAGGCAATGACAAGACACAGAAGCAAGAAGCTCCTCATTGCTTCATTTATCACTTCAGCCAAGGCGCCCAGCACTTCCCAGTGTTTTTTTTTTTTACCTGATAGTTTCGGAGTTCAGCAATCTTTTCTTGCTGTACAGCACAATCACTCCAGATGAGATTTGCAGTCTCGTCATCATCACGAATCTTGAGGTACCCCATTTCTTCTATTACTACCCGGACTGCAAGAGAGAAATGAAAACAACAACATTAAATTAGACACTCAGAGGAAAGCAAAGGCAAGACCCTCCTCCTTGACAAAATCTTGTCAAGAAAACCTCATAGTAGGACCACCTTAGGGTCACCATAAAATGGAAACAACCTGAAAGCCCACAAGACTTCCAGTTTTTTGTGGTTTGGTAGTCTTGGCAGCATATAATAATAATAACAAGAACAAGAACAACAACAACTGCTACTACTACTACTACTACTTTATTGTATCCCATTACTATCTCCCCGAAGGGACTTAGGGCGGTTTACACATTACACAAGGTGCCTAAAAACAGAACATAAAACACAATATAAAATACAATTGAATAAAACATATAGGCATATAAAACAACAACTTAAGACTCAATTAAAACAGTGCTCTTCAAACTAGCATTTAGCACACTAGGCATGATTAAGGATGTTCATGTCCAACATTTAGTCTTGCAAATCAGATTCTACCTATTGCTTTGTTATGATGACTGGCTAGAAGCATGTATCTGCTTGATAAAAGGAATCATAAGACTTTGTGGCTTGGCTTTAAATAGATTAAGAATAAGTTACTTAGATCAATGCTTCTGAGAACATCTGAGGGCCCTTCTACACTTACCTAAAATCTGGGTTAAAATAACCTGCATCCTCCCAAGTTTCAGTTCCCACCCCCTATCACTGTCCCAGGATTTCCCTCGAAGGGTGGTTAGATGGTCAACCAAAGCATCCAGCCACCCATTTCCCTCCTCCAAAATTAAACTTAATAGAGGGACTTGCTAGCAGCCTTCCTCCCACCTCCTGACATGTCATTTTCAAACATCAGGGGTACTGTACGGAGGGAGATGCGCTGCCCGCAGGCCCCTCCGGTAAGTTTTGGGGGGGAAGAATGGCGGGGGTGCCCCCCGCTCCTTTGGTATCCAGGAGCCCAAAGAACTGGGATGGCTATGGGGATTGGCTCCTGAGACTGTGGAAGAAGTCCCACAAGTCAATCTCACAGGGCCTACACAGCTTAAGGTCCAAATCTTTCCAGGTGTTTAATGTAGAGTAAACTGGGAAAACCTAGTTTTCACTGCATTAATTCACTTTTACCCAAGTTGTCATTTGGACCTGTCTGGAAGGGCCTTGATGTGGAAAACCACTCATTTTCTAATGTGCCAAGGACCAGTACCATATTGGCTCTCATTGTGTTTAGTTCCTGGAAAATCTCCTTAGCCAACAGCCCATGGCCCACAGAACAGTACTGAGCTAGAGTCTATGACTTTGAGTAGCAATGATTTAGATCTCAAATGCATATCTCGTTTCAGATCCAAAGTAATACATTGACCATGAAATGAGCTATCATGCATTATAAGGTTAACATGACAAACAAAGATGATTTCAGACTAAACAATCAAATTGGTGTGTATTGATATGACCCAAGAGCTTGATTGAGTACCTCTATATCAATACTTGAAATTGCTCCATTTCAGATGGGAGTTGCCACTGGCCATTCCTCCACCTGTCTAAGGACACTTCCAGGCAAGCCCAAAACTCATGATGGCATCTGGATTAACCTGAGGCATCCAAACAATGCCTCGGGTTAATTTTGGTTAATTCACTGTAAATTGGAATTTCCCAATTTACTCTAGATTTTTTAAAAAAACATCAAAAGATGTGGACCTTACTGCAAGGTCTGGATCTTTTGAGGTATTGGGCCTGTGGGGATTGACTCTTGGAACTGCCTTCTGTAATCCTGAAGAGCCAATCTCCATTGCCATCCCAGTTCTTCAGGATATAAGAGACCAAAGGAGTGGGATGATACTCACACCCTCCCCTCCCAGCCCCCCATTTCCCCTATAAACTTACTGGAGGGGCGTGGCTGCATCCTCAGGCCCCTTAGATAAAATTTTGTTTTGCGAGGAGGGGAAGGATGGCAAAATGATGTCAGCTGTTTCCTCCGAGAGACCTCAGTATACAGCCAGACCCCTCTGGTAAGTTTAGAGGGTAAACAGGGAGCTGGGGACTAGCTAGATGTCCTCCTCGGGAGAAAACTAATATTTGGGCACTGTGTGGCCTAAAGCTCAAAGGGAATTGGAATTTTAAATCCCAGTTCCTTTCACAATTTGAGCCTGTCTGGAGAAGCCCTAATTTTCAATAGCAAACGAAGCAGAGACATCACAGCTACATATGAAAAAAAGCAAAATAATGATAGAAAAGCAGATGAAATCCAAGCAAGGACAAATCAATAATAGACTTCAACTGAGAGATTTACACTGAAGCAATGGGAAATCAGAAACCCCTGTCAAATTTCACTTTGTATGAACATCTCTCATAGAATCTAGCCTTCTGGATACTTGCCATATGACTTCTTCAGATAATGACATTCTTACACTGAATAGTAATTATGGGAACAATTTTCTAATGACAGCACTGATTATAGCACCCTTGTCATAAGCCCCAAATCTAAGAACTAATTTCCTGTGACTGAACTCAGAAGGAAAAATGCCAAACTCCAGCTCAGTTTTTTTAAATAAAAAAGATTGTGCTCCTTGCTCTTTTGTAAGTCAAGTATAAAATTAATGTGAAATGGTTGAATATTTTGACATTAATGCAATGTGATTTGTCCTGTGAAATGTTAGACGTGGTAATGATTCACTTGAAAGCCTTTAACATGTGCATTTCAGCAAATATGCAAGCTCTTAAAGAATCAGGGCTACGCTTTTAAGCAAGAACATAGGCATTTTCATTGTCAAGTTCTCCTAAGTTGGTGTGGAACGTACTGTCCACAGTGAGTCGCAAATGCACTCAAGGATTTTAGGCAGAATTATTTACTAGCCAAACCAGGAAGTGTGAAGAACTGGACCTCGGCCTTTTGCAAATGAATTATGTACTCCAACACTGAGTCATAACTAGTTTCCTTCAAACAGTATTTCAACCAAATATAAATCAACACAAGTTTGGGGAAGCTAAGATTGGCTTCTAAGTTCAGATATTTACTTGTTTAAATTAACTAGAAGCACTATTTTCACAGTGATGGTGAAGTATCTTCACAAGGAAATACTACAATACCCCAAGCAGGTTACTTAGAAGTTTCTAATAGCAAACTGTGCATATGTGTGAGTGTGTATATGCCTTTAATTTGGTTGCTGACTTATGAAACCTCCATGAATTTCATAAAGGGCTCTTCGGGACTATACCAAAACTCAAAAGGAAGCAGGTTAAGTCCCCACCCACCCCCACCCAAAGATTGACCCGGGATACCACCCAGCCCATTTTGCCCCCCCCCCAAAAAACTTAATGGAGGGGGTTGTGGGCAGCACAGTCCCTCTCTACAGCACACCTGATGCAAAAAAAATATGCATCAGAAGGTGGAGGGAGCGGGAGGAAAATCCCTCCACCACCACCCCCCGACACACCCAGTAAGTTGGGAGGCAAAATAGGGGCTGGAGGGGAGGGAATGAGTGCTATCCTGCTCCTCCGGCCATTTCAGAGCTTAAAGAAGTGGGATAGCTATAGGGATTGACCCATGGGACTTTAGAAGAAGTCCCAGTAGTCAATCCCCACAGGGCTATCACCTCTAAAGACCTCTTTAGAGGTGTTTAATTAATGCATAGTATAATGAGGAAATCTGGATTACTCTATATTAATTTGCTTTTACCCAATGCATCCTTTGGTCCCATGTTTTGGGCCTGTTGGGAAGAGCCCAGAGTTTTCTTAGAAAAGGAATACTCAGATGTAGTTTCACCAGTTCCTTCCACTAACTACAGCAGCTAGTATTTTTTGCCAGTGTACCATCCAAGTAATAAAGAGGCCTAACCCTGCTTAGCTTCCAAGATCAAACATGATCTGGTGTCTTTAAGGTATTTAGGCCATAACAACAAAACAGGGTAAGTTTAACAAGAAAATTCATTCCCTAGTAGCATGTTCTATAGTAATTTAACTTAGAAGCTTTTAATGGCTATGTAACCCCAGGTTATTAATCCATTTATCTTTATTCTTATCACATGATTAGCTGTAAAGTAAGCAGAATATGGAGCTTGCTACCAATCTCATATTTTGTGCCAGCAACATTTGCAGTGATGGTCCCGTGCTTTTTCTTCTCTCTGACTTTTCTTCTTATTGTGCTTTGGAAAGACAGGTCTGAGCGTAAAGTCAGAGAAGAGCTTCCTTGGTTATCTGTAAAGAGGGGGAAAGATGCACTCATCAACAACATAGATCTTTTGCTGAAAACAAAGAAAGTTTGGGATTGGTGACACCTACCAAAAAAGCATAAATAATTACATTCCTTAGGAAACACTGATCATATATTATTGTCTTTTCACCAAAATGGACGCCTGCAACCTGCCAGATATTTTTGGACTACAGCTCCCATAAATTTGCAACATTGCCTATGCAGGCCAGGGCTATTAGGAGTTGGTGGCTATGGATGTGATAAGTTACAGGCCAAGAAATATCTGCAGAGCTACAGGTGCCCAACTTTGCTTTAGGACAACAATATATTACAAATACATTGGAACAATGTGTGGTCTATTCATTACCTCATATACAATGGGGCAGTGAAGCCACATTTAGTTTTCCCACTGTGCAGATATACAATACAGAATACATATATGTACAACAATAAGCATGTAAGCCCTGTTATTTAAATCTCAATAGCCTTTTTTTTATATAAAAAAGATATGAAGCTTTAAAAAACATGTTAACACATATACAGGGAGTACAGGGAGCCAATACCAAACAAAGTACAAGGATTTAAAATATTTGTAATTAAATTAAACCAAGACACAGGAATTTAATAATAAGCAGCCCACCTCCCTCATTGGGCAAGGATGGCATTATCTCTGGGATGTCACAATAGCAGAGCCCAAATCCTGTCACAGGTGCTCAGGAAGCTTAGAAGGCCTTGCAAGCCAATTCCCTCAAAGGTTGTCGTCATACCATGTCAATTCAAGACTGTGACGAATCTCACTTCCAAAAAAGAAACAGGTGCCTGCATTTGAAGAGAGTTGAAGTACGTGATTAGAAAAAGGTTATGAGACTAGTTCCCGATATTCAACAGTACACAAAAAAGATAAGAAGCCTAGTTTTCATCTTTTATCTACCTTATAATTTTTAAAATGAGTCGAAAGGTTAAGACTAGGGATTAAATCTTCAATCTGATACATTTAAGAGTGGGACAATGCATAGTTCAATTGAAAATATAAATGTCCTAATAGATTTGTAATACAATAGTCCTAGTCATCAAAGTCAAGAAGGTTAGAATCCATCTTGACTTTCTAAATAGAACAAAGGGTAGAGGATTAGATTTATGGAATCTTAGCATCCAAGATGAGAACAGTGAACTGCAAAGGGGAGAAGAAAGCACATGCTTCTTCCACTGAGTCAGACATCTTTGACAGCCAGGTATAGACCAAACTTGCAACTGTTACCAGGCCTATATGTTGCCTTTTATAAAGCTAAGCATAAAACTGGTGGGGGAGCGGATTTTGCACATGTCTGATCCATTTTTTTTGACACACACACAGTTAAATCTTATCCTTCTCCAAAAGTTACCAGCTGCCACTTTCCTTCCATCAAAACCACAAAGGTCATTGTAGACTCAAAGCAGAACAGAACACAGGATTCCAAATATGCCACACTATTATAATTGCAGCAATCCAGAGGACACAAAGGCTCTTTATGTGAACCCTTCTATGGCCCCATCTATGCCTTCTAACCCTTCTACTTTGTCATATACAATCCATATTATCTGCTTTGAACTGGATTATATGGCAGTGTAGACTCATATAATCCAGTTCAACGAAGATAATTTTGATTTTCTGCTTTGATAATCTGGATAATATGGCAGTGTAGATCCAGTCTAGGGGCCCTTCCACACAGCCCTATATCCCAGAATATCATGGCAGGAAAGCCCACATTATCTGAGTGTGGACTCAGATAACCCAGTTGAAAGCAGATATTATGGTTTTTTCTATCTTGATATTCTGGGATATAGGGCTGTGTGGAAGGACTCTAGGTTTAACTGTTAAGAGGAGCAGGAGGATTAATTAAATTAATTGTTGGGAAATGTGGTTATATTTGTGGAATTAGCTAAAACAAGATTTAGGTATAGCCACCAATTTCAACTTCAAAAATTGATTGGACCAATTTATAGAGGAAGAGGCCATCAATGGCTGCAACCTAAAATGTCTACGTACGGCCCGTTTATCTCTTTATCCCAAATTATCTGGCGGTGTAGACTCATGCCCCTTCTACATTGTCATATATTCCAGATTATGAAAACATATAAACTACATTATCATCTTTGAACTGGATTATCTGAATCTACACTGCCATATACTTGTTCAAATCAGATAATCTGGATTTTATATGGCAGTGCAGGAGGGGCCTCATATAATCCAGTTTAAGGCAGATAATCTAGGATCAGATCCTGAGATATAGGGCAGTGTGGAAGGGACCTATGTTCAAAGTGCAAAAGTAGATTGCCCTCAATTAACTCAACAAGGGGAAGAGGAGAGGAGAGGGCAAAATCATCGATATGTCTCCACCATCTTGACCCCATCACCAAGACAATGCTACTGTACCTATGTTTTGCTGTGGGCTTCAGATAGGGATCTGTTTACCCACTATGGAAAAATAGAACATTAAAGGAAACAGAACACTGGTCTCATTTAGAAGTGAACTTCTTAGATTTGAAGAGTAGCTCAAAACATTTCTACTAATGCATAAAATATTAGTCTTAAAAGGACAGGAGGAAAGCCATGCCTCTAGAAGCACTAATAATGCAATAAGCACTGAGAGAATGACTCAGTACTTTTGTCTCAGGTTCAGTACATTACTAGAGTGTTAATGTCTGGAATAACTGCAGTGCTTTTCTAGCCAATTACAGACTTCACTGTACTCACATTCCCAAGCCCACACTTTCTTAACAGCTTCTCTGGACTATACCTAATTGTATATGAAAATGACAAAAAATCTGCTTGAAAAACACATACAAAAAATATACCCTTTGACTGAAAAGGTCATATCCAACATCAACATACATGTGGTCCTCATATTTCTGCCTTCATATGTGTGCACCTCAATACATAGGAATGGGGAAGGCAAAAACCGATTCCAATTAGTTTCAGAAAACACAATACAAAATAAACCAACCTATTTTTACAAAAAAATCCATACTTTAATTACTGCCAACACTACTCATGGAGCCATTTCACACTATACAGTTAACTGGTATGATTCCACTTTACTGCCATGGATCCATCCAGTGGAATTCAGAGATGTGTAGTTTAGGAGAGGAGTATTTCAAGTTATCAATCAGAGGATTCGGGTGCCTCACCAACTAGAAACCCCAGGATTCCAGGGGATATTATCATGACAGTTAAATTGGAACCATAGTGCAACAGCTGTATAGTTCAACAGTTACATCTTGTTGGTTCAGAATGAATTGGACATGTAACAACACTCTACGCAGCAGCTAAGAATTAGTGTTCCTTTGTTATTGAAGGTGTATTTCCTAATTTGTCTCAGTAAGGAATGAATTGGACACCATGTTGAGATCTGTTATCGAACAGCCCTTCAGTATGAGGGGGAAGGAGGATGAATGAATATGACTAGGGCCCCTTCCACACAGCTGAATAAAATCCCACATTATTTGCTTTGAACTGGAATACATGGCAATGTGGACTCATATAATCCAGTTCAGTGCAGAAATTTTGGGATTTTTTGCCTTAATATTCTGGATTATATGACTGTGTGAAAGGGCCCTCGGGCCCCTTTTACGCTGCCATGTAATCCAGATTATCATAGTATATCATCCACATTATCTGCCTTGAACTGGATTATATGAGTCTACACTGCCATATAATCCAGTTCAAAGCAGATAATCTGGAATTTATATGGCAGTGTAGAAGGAACCTATGATTGAAGCAATTGTGATGACTTCTCATGGACTGGGTGCAGCTGGCACACTAGTTTCAACTCTACAAAGGTACTTCGAGCCACAGTCAAAAACTGGGGATTCAGACTCAGATTGAAATCCAGGAGTACATCCAAACTGCAAACCTCAGATTTCATGGGGAATGTGCCCCACCTAGCACAGTACCCTAGAACAGGGGTCCTCAAACTATGGCCCGGGGGCTGGATGCGGCCCTCCAAGGTCATTTACCTGGCCCTTGCTCAGGGTTAACCTAAGTCTGTAACAACTTGAAAGCACACAACAACAACAATCCTATCTCATCAGTCAAAAGCAGGCCCACACTTCCCATTGAAATACTAATAAATTTATATTTGTTAAAATTGTTCTTCATCTTAATTATTGTATTGTTTTTAAGTGGTTTTTGCACTACAAATAAGATATGTGCAGTGTGCATAGGAATTCATTCATTTTTTTCATATTATAATCTGGCCCTCCAACAGTTTGAGGGACTGTGACCTGGCCCTCTGTTTTAAAAGTTTGAGGACCCCTGCCCTAGAGGTTCCCATTCCCATTTTAATTCTAAAACACAGGTAAACCCAAATACATACAAAACTTCTTTCTGAATAAAACAAGTTGATATCTATTCTGATGGTTGCTTTTCGAACTTTGCCCTCCTTTCCCAGTCACCGGGTTTCAATGAGCAGCAGGTGATCAATATTTTTTTTCAATTTTGTATTAATTGATTTAATAGCACTCAGGAAGTTGGTGTTTGGGGGAGGGGAGAGAGGCAATCCAAATCTGGTTGGTGGTGCTACACAACTTTATCCCAGATTTTTTTGGCTAGTTCTTTGGAACTCATAGGCCATATAGAGCTGAAAATGCCCATACATGGATGCCATTTACCTACATGTATGTTTTTTAGGTCCAGTGATTGATAGCACAACAAAAGGGGTAAGTATTTATGGAACCCAAAACTGTCCACTTGTTTTTCATTATTTATTCTACAATAAATATATTTTGTACTCCACATTGCTAACTATCTTGCATATATGAAGTGGTAAACATTGCAATTAAATTCATTTCATGTCAAGGTTTTAACTAAATGTTGAAAAGTCAAAGGAGCAGTGTGGAACATTATTGCAAAGCACTGTGTTATTCAGATACTGGGATCTTAGTTTGAAGGCATTATTATATAAACAAGTGGGAGATTTTAGCATTAAATTAACCCTGAGCTGTGCATTATCAGTACTAGGGGATCCGTGCATTCTGGCACACGCTACATACACTCCAAAAATATACATTGAACATGATTAGCTGGCCAATTCTATCTAACTGCATGGAGAATCAAGAACATAATAAATCAAGTTCTATACACTTGGTTTTGTGCTAAAAACAAGACTGACTAAAGAATCTACCATCAGTCCTCCACATTTACTGGAGTTAGAATTGCAGGGTTCCCACAAAAGTAGAAAAACCACAGATAAAATACCACTATTTTTTTTACTTGATAGAACACCTCTCTAGGAATCTCCAGGTGTCCAATCTCTGATGGAAGCTGACTATAGCAGTGGTTCTCAACCTTTGGGTCCCCCGGTGTTTTGGCTTACAACCCTCAGAGTTCCCAGCCAGTTTACCAGCTGTTAGGATTTCTGGAAGTTGAAGGCCAAAACATCTAGGGACACACAGGTTGAGAACCACTGGACTATACAGTCCCACTGGAAGGCCTAAGATTTGCTAAAGAGCCCATATTAATCAAATCTATGAAAATCAAATCTACAAAAGTTAATCCTGCAAATGTAAAGAGTTGACTGTAGTCTAAACTCCTAGACATACTTACCTCATGAGTAGGTATGCATAGGCTTGTGTTATTACAATTTTCTTCAAAGTGGAACCTTAGAATTAATACAATTGTTTATGTACGGCAAGCATAGCCACAGCCCTGAAAAAATTCTGTTAGCTTAGCTATTTACTTTAAGGTCCCTCCAGGCTACAAGCACAATAACTCTGTATGGTCTACCACACTTGTAATTTCAAGAAACTGCAAACTGTGACCACAACAAGGCCATTGTTTA